ATCAATATCATTCCTTACAATCTTTACAGAGTTTCCTCCGCACGAAGAGGAAAAATCACGGAAGCTTGCACGAACCTACGTGGGTAGTTTTCCATTTGAAAAATAAAGTATGACAGGAAGTCTGCGACGTCGCAAACTGAGATACGTGGTTTGTTAGTTTCACCGTCGATACGCTTTGTGTCGATAATATTGCTTGTTTTGAAATTTGGCTTTCACCGGCGTCCGTATTGGTTTCATTGGTTTCAAAATCGGTGCTCTTTGGTTGGTTTTCTTTGGTTTTCAGCGCAGCTAAGTTTATTGATAGAGAAGGAAAAATGTAAGTTTTCGATATTGTTGGCTTGCAGTAAACAATGAGGTAGTTTCAAGTGAATTATGTTAATCACATGCACAAGAATAGATGTTGGATAGTGTCATCCTTAGCCTATTTAATTCGCAGCCTCTCATTTAAATCGCTTATGTAAACAGCGCATGCTTCGTAACTCTTTTTATTTTGTGTCTTGTAATGACAATAAGTTGTTTTTGTTTGCCGTGGATACTGGTTTTACGCTTCGGCATCCGTGTTTTAATATCTCGAAGAATTTTAAAGACACGATTGTGAAGCCCGAGATGTTTATCTCGCCATCTGTTTTTACCTCAGCGCACATAGACAAATGATAAAAAATCTCAGCAATTAAAATTATTTCAACACGTTTAATCTGAGGAATGTACCTAATTCCTAAACTAGCAGCCGCGCGAGTATATAAACCGTCTAAAAATTTGATAAGTACTTTGAATGTTGAACAATAAGATTTCTTGTCTATCTGCGTCTGTCTTTATCTGTTAGTGCTCAAAATCGTGACACAATTTTTTCCCAAATAGGTATTTGAACATTTATAAGAAATGCTTTCAGATAAGCAATCAGATCAGCCAGATCATCGATTATTGATCAACCACTGCGCGGCCCCACCAGTCACCACCCTTTCACAGGGTAATCTATATCTAGGGTGAAACTACCAGACCACGTGTCTCGGTTTGCGACGTTGCACACTTACTGTCATACTTTATTTTTTTAGTAAAAAAACTACTCATAATCAATTTTTGAAAACCTCCGTGATCTTTCTTCTCTGTACGAAGAAATCTTTACTTATGAAAACCTCATGAAATTATATTGATTTGTTCTCCTTCAAAAAAATAAAATGGGAGCGGAAATTTTTTAAACATCGCAAACGAGATACGTGGTCTGGTAGCATTACCGTCGATCTGGGAGTTCCCCCAAAAGAACCGTTCCAAAAAAACTTAATAATTTATCAATTCTTACAATGAATTTATGCCGTATAGAAACAAATGGACCCTTTTCGACTTATTGTTCAATATTTGCACGCTACCATAACGTCTTATCGATAAAGAGTCTATTCGAACTGCTCGCGCGAGCGGCTTCGGAACATGAGACAGACAGAAAAAAAACTGGAATCGGCGTGTCTAGCTGCTGTCAACTTCAACTGCAAATCGGCGATTTACTCTCATTGGAACGAGGAATCAATGTGTTGGGCGGCAACGCTTGGTTTGCGAAATTTCTCACGGTGTAGTGGTCAGTGCCCGGAAACAGACTATCGGCGACTTCCACTTTTTTTACCCTCCTTATCACTTAATTTTCGGTGTCTTCCTCTGAAATGGAATTCTCCACTTCCAAATTCTAGCCCCACTCCTCCCTCGTGAAGAACCGGCCAGCAGCTTCCCTTTCCGCCCTCAAAAAACCGATACCACTGATTTCGCGCCGATTTCTGAGATAGAGCCGTGGCTAGGTCCAATAGAGGCAATTGTCTCAGACGTTTTATCAAAAAAATCCGAATCTTCTGCTGAAATGTGTAGTACCTAGATGTGTTTTCTCTTTGTACTCTTCTTCTCCTTATCTTCTCCTTCAGAGACGGTTTTTAAAGATAGAATTTAGAGTGGGTCCAGCGAGATAGTCTCCCTCTCTCATCATTCTGGAAAAACCAAGACTGAGAAATGTACAAAATTTTGCATTGTGTAACTACAATATCTGGCTCAGTTTAGAAACAACGTATAGCGACGTGCAACATGCAACATGTCCCTTAGCACGTAAGTGCTTTTACAGATAAGCCAAAAATTTTACTTAGTTCTTAATCGCAAAACCAAGTCCCAATGACAGACATGACAAGAATATTCACCGTACAACTATTTTAACAAAAACCAATTTAATAATTTAAACCAAAGTACTCTGTATACTCTGGGCATTAGCTCTCTATTTCTCTTTAGTGACAATGATTATACCCTGCCATTTTCTCTGTTATTACTTGTTTATCATCACTTCTTTGTGAGAGTTCGTTACTTTTAAGCACCTGCTACCGCCTAGCAAGAGATCATAAAATCCGTTCCTTGTAGATTCCTCTTATTTTGTCTCTAAATCTAGGCATTTTGTTTCGTACTTCTGGACAACACTCGGAATAGCCTAAAGAGACCGTGGTCTGAACCCACAGTAGTTAGATGAGAGAATGCAGCCAAAACGAGCTGCGGTCCGACCACAGCAAGTTTTAGTCCAGCCACAACTCGAGTCGAGGGTTCAGACCCTACACGGAAAAAACGAGCTTAGGGTTGGGACCTACATGTTAGTGCTGGACACTAACGAGGGTTAGGTCAAATGGAGCCAGCAAGTCAGAGGAGTGCTGGGCACTAAACAGCTCGAGGCTGGGTCACTACGGAAGAAGTAGTGTCAAGCCCTAAAGTGACTTTGGAGCGAGCGTAAAATATGAAACGCCTCCGCCTGGGATCGAACTCGGATTGCGCCGGTGGAAGCCCAGCGCGTTACCACCAGGCTATGGAGACTCCGACGTCTCAAGGGTGAATTTACACCTGTTAAGCGCAACTACGTCTCGCGGCATCTGATTAGCACTACTCATGTTCAGTGTCCACCTGTACTGCCTTCCGGTGTTGCGCTGTACAGCGCTTAGACGCCAGCCCTCAACTACTCCTTACTAAACGCCCAGTAGTGCTCAACACTAGTCTTGTTTTTTCCGTGTAGTTAATCAGAAATAGCTATTTCATCCGATACATTGCGGCGGAACCCCAAATGAGGGTCCAGCAATAACTTGACTTGTTTTTCCTTGCGAATCTCATCGTATAAAAGGAAATATGAAAAGAATATGTAATAAGAATATAAATAAAAATATAAAAATTTGGCACAATTGCATTTGTTATTTTCAATATGCAATCACAATTACGTAATTACGCTCACCTAGGATAAAAAGAAAGAAAAAAATACGTTTACGTTTTCTTGTTATGCCACGTTGCGTCTCGGAGGGAGGTGAAGGGGTGTCCAAGAAAATCTGAAATTAACCCAGGTACTTTTGCCCTCAGTCCTCTTCCGCGAAGTGCATTCTCGGTATGCTGCCGTGCTAAGAAAAAACGCCGTTTGAGCCTCCAGGCGTTGCCAAATTTCCTTTCATATAACGCAAGTATCCTGGTAAACTTTATGGATATTTTTCGTCCGATTCTTCAGAAAATTTTGCTCGCAATTCCATTCGGAGTTCCTGAAAGTTTCAAGGAAAAATATTTACGATTTTCTTCGTAAATAAACTTATTATCGAAGGAAATTTGACAACTCTCGAATGCTCATACGGCGTTCTTCCTTAGCATGGCAATATGGCTGCTCGATTAATTTAGCGCCTGCACACGGAGGCGAGACTGACGGATTGATCTCCTGCCTCTTTTTATACGCGTAGATCAGTTGCAGCACGAGCTATTGCCGTCCTCCTCACGATTGTTGTCCATGTTTCCCGTTGTCTGCCGCGTTTAAAAACGGCATTGCAAAAACGCCTACGCTCGCCAGATCTTCGCACCGACTTGGATTTTCCCTCATAGAATGACGTTTTTGCACGAGACTGTTCGAGCGTAGGCGTGATTTTTTTTTTTTTTTTTTTTTTTTTTTTTTTTTTTTTTTTGCAACGGGCGTCGCGCGTCGGCCTAGCGTTGTGTGCACTCGGCTACGAACGCTTTTCTTTCTTTCTTTTGAAACCGTCTTCGGGCTGATTATTGAACTGTATGGACATAGCGATAGACAAAGAAGACAGAGGGAGTATGGAGCGTTTTTTTTTCTCTTCGTTGGAAAACCCTCCAGTTGAGGAGGCAACTCGACCGTCTGATCTGATCTGAAGTTCCAGACGAGGACTGAAAGATCCCGTGCGTGATGCCCCTTCAATTTATTACGTAGGCAAAAGGCGCCCCTGCGAGCAGCAATAGTGGTATCTTGATTATCGGGATTCAGTATCTTGAACCATTCACCCAGACTAAGTTCATTTTACATCGTAAATTCCACTATTCAGACGTGCCAAAACTAGTTTATGCCCTACCCCAAGCAGCAATACTGGTATCTTGATTATCGGGATTCAGTATCTTGAACCGTTCACCCAGACTGAGTTCATTTTACACCGTGAATTCCACTATTCAGACGTGCCAAAACTAGTTTATGCCCACCCTATTGAATGATACTGATTTATATTTTCAAGCGTTTTAAAATTATATCTCTGCCTTAAATGTCCGAGCGATGTTTTGATTTTGTCTTTTTTTTCATTCGGTATTCTTTTTCTGACATCCTAATCTCGGTTTCTGCACCTCCTTTCCCCCACCCCTCAATAAAATGGACCGCGTTTAGCAGAAAAGAATCGAGCCAAGTCATCTATTGCCAAATTTAACCAGGCAATTTCATTTTTTTTTACGAGAGAACGTTTGTGCGAATTCCTTTGAAAAGAAGGAATTTGCTTCATACTATGCAGAAAACTCACCAAAATTCGCACAACCGTTTTCATGTAGAAAATTAAATTGCCCAATGAAATCTGGCAATAACTGATATGGTTTGGATCCTTTCTGCTTAACGCGGTCCAAATAGCGTTATTGCACAAAGGTAGGTAAATGAATTTATTTATACTGTCTCATAAAAGTACTAAGTATTCGATCTCCTTCATAATTTTATATTTATTCAACCACGATCATTTTTTCTGTTACAGCCATTAATGTTGGCGGCATTGCGGTCTGTTCTCTGGGAGCTTTAGTCGTCATTACAATTCTAGTTTTATATGTTGACACGCTAAAACACATCTTACATCATGTGCCGTCTATTGCCAAGACTAACTCTGTATTCGTCATTAGCGTTTACCCGGTACGTATCGTAGCTTTATTCGGATACGAACTTGTGTATATTGGTATTTGCCTCGTGCATCACGTCGAAGAGCAACATCGCCGTGCCTTTTGTGTTTTTTCTTTCTTTTTATGAACCAATTTAATCATCATCCATCCCTAATAGTAATAGTATTAACGACTATTAGAAAAGAATATAAATTTTAACAAGGCAGCTTTTGAAGTTTAGTAAAAGAGTGTTAAGAAAATTTGTAAAGAATCTAGTTCAGTTTTTCAAGAGCTGAAATTTTTGATTTTGAAATGTTTAAAAAACTCTTTGAAAAAGTTAAAGTAGGTTTTTAAGGGGTTTTCACGTGAATGTAACATTTAAAAAACTACCAAAAAGGGTGTACATCTTCGCAAATTTCAACAGTTTTTTAAGAAGTTTTTGAGAAGTTGCTACAATCGATGTCTCCTCTTCTTAAATAAGAAAAAAACTTCATACCGAAGGATCATCAGAAATCTCAAATTTTGCAGGAAACATTCAAAAGAACCTTTTTAGAATAATTGCACTAGCAGAAGATTCAAGGGAGTGAATCAAAGGACCAATGGTTCCCGCGAATCCTTCATGATGACCCAACTCAGAGCAAGAGATTTCCGAAATACTTAAAATTACTGCAAATGCTTAGTTTTTCACATGCTTTACACGCCTAGTTTGTGACCTGGAAAAATTTATAAATCACATTTGAGAGACTTTAAAGACAAGGCGCACAAGTGCAGTTTTTGGTATTTCGAGAAATACGTGTTTGAAGTTTCGAAATTACATGGATCCCAATGACGGAGAGAAAGTCCAAATATACTGATTGATGTTTAAAAATTGGAATTTGGGGGCGAATTTTTCTTATAATATGTATTAAGACTAGTTTTACACGAAATCATTAATATCTCCATTTTTTCAACAACTGCACTTATGCGCCTTTGTCTTCCAAGCCCCTCAATTGTTTTTACAGAGAGGTAATTCTATACATATTTGGTGATTTGTAGGTGGTTGCAATCGTCACTTACTGTGCAATTGTTGTACCTCGCGCTCATCTGCTGGCAGAAGCGATCACTCAAGGCATGTTTATGGCATGCCTGTATCAGCTATTCTGTCTGTTCATCGCCTATGCTGGTGGAGAGTCAGAGCTCATTCGTCGGACTCAGAGCACAGCCATCATCATGCAAGTGCCACCCTGCTGTTGCTACCCTTGTTGTAGTTTTTTACCCACCCTCGCTATCAGCAAGTAAGTCTTGAATACAGATTAATAGCCTTAATAAGATAATTCTGGTCGCCTTTTCTAAGTTCCGTCCAATAAGACAAACGGAACCAGCTCAACATAGAAACAGAGGGGAAAGGACGCGCGTTGATCACGGCGCAAAGATACAACTATTCGTACTTGATGGATGTCCATGCTGCATAAGCAGTCTAATTGAAGGCGCGTTGCTGCGAGGCATAGACTCTCGATGCTTTGCTCCACGCTGCCAATAAGGTCTCGCTCAGTTTCGGGTGAAAAGTTCAACGCGAAGCCTGAATACGTAATGTAACGAGAGGGTAGGACCGGTAGGAGGGCTGAGGAGAGCGCTACTTTGTTTTGTTGTTACGTGTTAAAGGAGAGGGACCTACGTCACAGAAGCGTTACACGGGGATGGTAGGTAAAAAATGCCGAAAAAGTGCGTCACGTAATTTATGAACGCTCACTTATTTCAAGAAGAACAAAAATGGTTTAAATTAATTTATTACAATGTTAAACTGTGAAAAAAATAATTCGAGCAAAGATATAATCTCCGTTTTGAGTGCGTGGGTGTGTGTGTATGTACATTGAATGTATAATGTCATTCAGAATTGTCTGTGCATATCTACTGTGATATTGTATTGCATTAATTATTGCTTTAGTTCTCTCGCCTTGTTGTTACCATACTAGTCACTGTTATTAAGTTTCTGCAACTAGACTGCTCAGCTGTGCAAGCGTGTGGGCCATTAAATGAGTGAATACTATACCCGAGCCTCCCCCGAATTCTTAGGTTGTGCAAGGTAAATTCAAATGGGCAATTTTTAGAAAATTGGATTTGTCGTTTTTTATTAACGTTTCTTTTAAATTGTTGAGATTTCTATTTACGGTTCGTTTTAAGAAGTTTTAATTTTTCTAAAGACCACCCGCGATTATATAAATAAGACAAACGGAACCAGCGCAACATAGAAACAGAGGGGGAATGACGCGCGTTGATGACGGCGCAGAGATACAACTATTCGTACTTGATGGATGTCCGTGTTGCATAAGCAGTCTAATTGAAGGCGCTTTGCCGCGAGGCATAGACTCTCAGTGCACTCTGTTCCATGCTGCCAATAAGGTACCGCTCAGTTTCGGGTGAAAAGTTCAAAACGAAGCCTGAATACGTCTCTTTATCTTCGGCTGTGTCGACACTCCTTTTTTCTTTCTTTTTCGATGTGATGACCTGTATCTAGAGCTCGTATGTGTCGGTCCCATAAAACCCGCGGGCCACGAGTTGTAAGCAAACCTCGGGTAAATTTGACCCGGCTTGGGCATCTAGGAGTTAACATATTAACTCCACTTGGTCCGCGGGTTTTATGGGGCCGGTACATACGAGCTTTAGATACAGGTCATCACATCGAAAAAGGAAGAAAAAAGGAGTGTCGACACAGCCGAAGATAAGGAGAGACGCATTCAGGCTTCGTTTTTAAACTTTTCTCCCGAAAATGAGCGACACCTTATTGACAACATGGAGCAGAGCATTGAGAGTGTATGCCTCGCGCCATCGCGCCTTCAATTAGACCGCTTATGCAACACGGACATCCATCAAGTACGAATAGATGTATCTCTGCGCCGTCATCAATGCGCGTCTTCCTTTGCTCTATTTACATGTTGTGCTGGTTCCGTTAGTCTTATCTATAGTTGTGCTTCAAGGGTTACGTGAGCAACACAGCCGGAGACAGGACAGACGAAATCGGGCCTCGTTCTCTAACTTGTCTCTCGAATCTGAGCAAGACCAATCCACACAGGTCAGTCATTACGCATCCTTTTAAAATCCACAAGTTTTCCGGTGTGACATCACATTGGCTGCTACCGTAAGAAATACATTCCCCGCCGCAATGCGCAGTCGCGTCTCAAAACTCGTCCAAGGGAATGACTGACCTGTGTGGATTGGTCTTGAATCTAAACAACCCCCTATTGGTAGCATAAAGCGCAGCATTGCGAGTTCATGCCTCGCGCAATCGCGCCTTCAATTTTGTAGATACCACACGGACATCCATCAAGTACGAATAGTTGTATCTCCGCGCCGTCATCAATACGCGTCGTTTCCCTTGCTCTATTTCCATGTTGTCTTGGTTTCGTTTGTCTTTATTGGAGCGGTGCTTTAAGGGCCACGTGAGCAGCACAGCTGAGACAAGAGACATACCTAGTTTCAAACTTTTCTCTCAAATCTGTGCAACGACTCATTTTAAAAAAAGGAATAAAAGTAAAAAGAAAAAATGTTCAGATAGATCTCTGAAGCACTCTGAAGGGCACAGGTCTAAAAATTAGTATGGTGATTGGTGAAAATTTCAAACTATTGTTTCTGCCCCTCAGAAACATAGAAATAAGATACGAATTTATCAGATCGAAACCAACCCATAGTTTCGAAAAAATTGAATCAAGAATGTTTAGCTAGCCACTAGCCGAGGGCCAGATTTCGGGGGTGGCCGCATGGGCCGCGGCCCGTAGCGGTAAATTTTGAATTTGTTTTAAATGTAGGTAAAAAAAATCGGATTCAGAAAAAAAATACAAACGAGAAATGGCGACAAAATCTCTCATTTCCTGAAAGTATAGTAATTTCTAATTTGGTTGTCTCTCGGTGATACGGAAGGCAGCACCTTTAATTAGTCGAGTTAAGAGAGAAACCAAACACGCAATTTGGCCTGGCGCCGCGGCGCAGAGAGCAATGATGACGAGGACTCAAGGTGAAAAGGAGAAACCCTCGGCGCGGCAGTCGGCATGTAACACATATTAGCGCCTACAAGACTGCATGAATACTTCACGCATTGCGTCAGACACAGTGCGGTCAGCAGCAGCGGTCGGTCGGCGGGAAATGCAAAGCGCCTACAAGACTGCATGAATACTTCATGCATTGCGTCGAACACAGTGCGGTCAGCGCGGCGCGGCAGCGGAAGTTAAAATTATTTAACCACATTTATGTTTTTTCTTTCACAATTTTTTCGCTCAATACTTGGAAATGGAAGGTCTTGTTCACTCAAAGATAGGTTTCAGAAACTTAACTTTCGCGCAAAGTTCCGTGAACTTTTGCTAGTAGTGTTGACAGGGCTTTTTGCAAAAAATGTGTCCAACACGAGTAAACGTGTCTTATGCACCCCTCTCCCTCCGTCACGTGCTTTTGATGGTTTTTATTGAAGTTTCAGAACGAATGAGAAGGGGGCGGCAAAATTCAGGCGGCCCATGGGCGGCAAGTAGGTTAATCCGGCCCTGCACTAGCCGTATATTTTTTCCTGCCAAACACTGAAAGTCGAAAAACAGAAATTGGTTTGTGAAAAGAGCGGTTCAAGTTTAGTAACTACATTTAGCCTTATGCAGGAATAAAACTTCAAACCTCATTTTCTCAGTTTCAACTGAATGTGGGTTGGCTCCTTTCTGATGAACTCGTTCCAGATAATACCTCAAAAACTAATAGAATTGATATATTTAAATACCTACAGATTAATTTTACCTGTCTTGGGACTTAGCGTTTAAAAAAAGTCTTGTGGTGTATCCAAGGGTTAACGCACGGCCGCCAAGCAGCTACGGGCCACTAGTATTTAATTCAAGTACTATGTGTATTTGTTGTTATAAATTAAGTCTTGGACTTGAAATCTTTTCGGCTCCTTACTAATATTTTGGACTTTTGATATTTTGCCAAAGAATCCAAACTGTCTTTTTTTTCTAAAACAGTGTAACTTAAGATTAAATGGTATTAAATCTTCAATTTTTTCTTCCTTCTTTTTTCAAGCTAGCATCTTGTAAGAGCCCTGCTATTTTGGAGACAATCTTAATTAATTTATTTAATTCTTACAGGAGAAATGTGAAGTTGTTGAGGCTTCTTGTGTTGCAGCTACCTGTGGTTCAAGGCCTTGTTTATCTGATCCTGTTAGTAATGTGGGCTGAAGAGGAGGTGAATATCTACTCTTATTTTCATAAATCTATTCCAATGCTTTCTAACTTTTCAAAAAAAAATCTCTCGCCTGTATAAGTCTCTTTAAGTAATTTCTATGGAAGAGTGGGAATCAATTGTTGTGCATTTTGCAATTCCGGCCCGGTTTAAAAACAACGTATGTACCATTAGTTTCCCTATGCACATATAAGTGTTTTTTCAGATGACCCAGAATTTATAGGTCCAAATTGCAAAATGCAGTCCAATTGTTGTGCTCGAAAGTCGTCAGTCACTGACTCCTCAAAGTTCAGTGAAGAAAATTTTATTGGATCGAAGTAAAAAGATCAATCATTTTGTAAACAAGATTCAAAAAAACTTTAAAAAAATATTTGTAGCATAAGTAAATATTTGAAAAAATTGTTCCTTCGGAAGTTATGTGAAGTGTCCACAGCTTTTAATGAGTTTTTTTCTCTCTTTCCCTTTCTGTAGTTTCCCTTTCAATCCCTTTTCTCCTCCTAAATAATAACCAAATATTTTTTCCAATATGTATAGGAGTCCAATAATACCCGCTTTTAAAAAATTGTCTGCAGATCTCCCCTCAATTAGCCAAATAATTACAAAATAAAAATCAATCTATGGAAACTTAAAACTTTTTGATTATTGATCTTATGAATCTTTAATTTCTTGCAAGATCTAACAAAACTCACAATGTTAGTGTTTCCTCTCATCCCATTGTCCTATTAATTGTTGTTTTTTGTCGTTGTTTTTTCTACCAGAGTTTATATCAAGTAAACTACCTGTATCTGCAGCCTGTTGTGATTGCATCCATCCTCAGCGGGGTCTGGGGTATGATAATGATGATCCGTATGGTCAGTGACTCCCTACCGGACTACAAATTACAACAAAAGTTTGTGTGCCTCCAGTTGGTCCTTGTCTTAGCAAAGCTCCAGGGTTTGGTCCTAAGGATTTGCGTTTGGGCTGATTTGTTCCCCTGTAGAGCCCCAGTGACCTCTGCGGTGTATGCGAATTGTAAGTTAAAATCAAGTCATTTTGAGTTTATACCCAGTTTTGTTGTCATTTTTGTTGTCAAAGGCATTTAATGAATAAGTGGATTCATGGAAAGTTCATGTGGAGTGATCTAAGCGTAAAATCTCCACTGATTGACAAATTTTAATAATTTTATTCTTACAATCTTCCTACCCTCCTTCTTTACCTCCAGCATCAAAACTGCAAAAATGTCGCATAAAATACACCCATGTGAGAGCCAAGAGCTCCTATTGCAGCGTAAATCATACCTACCTGATCTGTAAGTCTCACATTCAACCCTGGACAGTTCATTCCTTGAAAACCTTTTGTTTAGAATATTTGTCCGTACCTTTCAAATTTTACTGACTCGGCACCAGATGCCTATTTCTATTTTTAAAAATTAAGCAGGTACCTAACATTTCATATCATCAAAGCAAATGCAGCGAACTATCTGCACTTTCTTGAAAATCAATTGAATTACTCCTACGCCCATGGTGTCAAACGAGTAAGATTCCAACAACGAACAGAATTTTCCTGTAACTTGGCAACCACTTAAAGGTTCAAAATCTGTTGCATAGAGGTGTAAGCCACATGGAACCTCCATCCCTTTCATCGTTCACAGTTTCAAATAATCGATTCTGGTCGGAGCACCAGACCCCTTCAAGAATAGATACATTTCCATGGGTTTAAAGGGAGAAATAACGATGTTGCCAATTTGCTAGATCCGCCAATGTTAAGTATCAATTTAAAATTCATTCGCGCTATTGAGTAGCCCTGTTTAGTTACTCTTCGGTGCATCCTCAACTCCTACGTATATATTTCCCTCATTTACAATCTAACCATTCCCTTGTTTTTCAAGTGTTGTACAACTCGGCAATGCTTTGGGAGATGATGATCCTGTGCTCATTTGCCCGCATGCTGTACAAAAAATATCTGCCAGAGGTTTACTTCACCAAGCCTGTTCAGTTTCCACGCCACATCATCGGTGTCATTGACAAGCTGGCCAAAGAAGATCTGAAAAATGACAGAACCCGGGAGGATACGAAAACCACTTCAGCCAGGGATAAATTTTGACTCGAAGAAATGATTTAAATTCTCTGTGATTTTTTACTCCCTGAAGAGGTATAATGGTCTGTGGTAAGGCAGTAAATGATGGAAAAAAAATTTCCCCNTACAGTAATTTCTAATTGTGTCGTCTTTCGGTAATACGGGAGGCAGCACCTTTAATTAGTCGAGTTAAGAGAGAAACCAAACACGCAATTTGGCCTGGAACGGCGCGGCGCAGAGAGCAATGATGACGAGGACTTAAGATGAAAAGGAGAAGCCCTCGGCGCGGCGGTCGGCATGTAACACATATTAGCGCCTACAAGACTGCATGAATACTTCACGCATTGCGTCAAACACAGTGCGGTCAGCGCGGCGCGGCAGCGGAAGTTAAAATGATTAAACCACATCTATGTTTTTTCTTTCACAATTTTTTCGCTCAATACTTAGAAATGGAAGGCCTTGTCCACACAGAGATAGGTTTACGGAACTTAACTTTCGCGCAAAGTTCCGTGAACTTTTGCTAGTAGTGTTGACAGGGCTTTTGCAAAAAATGTGTCCAGCACGAGTAAACGTGTCTTATGCACCCCTCCCCCTCCGGCACGTTCACTTGATGGTTTTTATTGAAGTTTCAGAACGAATGAGAAGGGGGCGGCAAAATACAGGCGGCCCATGGGCGGCAAGAAGGTCAATCCGGCCTTGCACTAGCCGTATAATTTCTCCTGCCAAAAACTGAAAGTCGAAAAACAGAAATTTTTTGTAAAAAGAGGGGTTAAAGGTTAGGTACTACATATCTACATTGAGCAATAGGATTCTACATTGAGCATGCAGGAATAAAACCTCAAACCTCTTTTTCTCAGTTTCAAGTGAATGTGGATTGGTTCCTTTCTGATTAACTCGGTCCAGATAATACCTCAAAAACTAATAAAATTGATGTATTTGAATACGGATTACTTTACCTGTCTTGGGACGTAGCGTATAAGAAAAGTCTTGGGAATCTAAGGGTTAACGCACGGCCGCCAAGCGGCTACCGGCAACTAGTATTTAATTTAAGTACTATGTGTATTTGTAGTCATAAATTAAGCCTTGGACTTGAAATTTTTTTGGCTCCTTATTAATATTTTGGACTTTTGATGTTTTGCCAAAGAATCCCAACTGTTCTGTTTTTTCTAAAACAGTGTAACTTAAGATTGAATGGTATTAAATCTTCAATTTTTTCCTCCTTCTTTTTCCGAGTTGTCATCTTGTAAGAGCCCTGCTGTTTTGAAGACAATCTTAATTAATTTGTTTTATTCTTACAGGAGAAATGTGAAGTTGTTGAGGCTTCTTGTGTTGCAGCTACCTGTAGTTCAAGGCCTTGTTTATCTGATCCTACTAGTAATGTGGGCTGAAGAGGAGGTGAATATCTACTCTTATTTTCATAAGCCTATATTCCAATGCTTTCTAACTTTTCAAAAAAAAATCTCTCCCCTGTATAAGTCTCTTTAAGTAATTTCTGCGGAAGAGTGGGAATCAATTGTTGTGCTTAAAAGTCGTCAGTCACTGACTGCTCAAAGTTCAGTGAAGAAAATTTTATTGGATCGAAGTAAAAAGATCAATAATTTTGTAAACAAGATTCAAAAAAACTTTAAAAAAAATATTTGTAGCATAAATATTTGAAAAAATTGTTCCTTCAGAAGTTACATGAAGTATCCACAGCTTTTAATGAGTTTTTTCTCTCTATCTCTTTCTATAGTTTCTCTTCTTAAATAATAACCAAATATTTTTTCCAATATGTATAGGAGTCCAATATTACCCGCTTTTAAAAAATCGTCTGCATATCTCCCCTCAGTTAGCCAAATAATTAAAAATTAAAAATCAATCCATGGAAACTTCAAACTTTTTGATTATTCCATGATAAATCTTTAATTTTTTGCAAGATCCAACAAAACTCACAATGTTGGTGTTTCCTCGAATCCCATTGTCCTATTAATGATTGTTTTTCGTTGTTGTTTTTTCTACCAGAGTTTATATCAAGTAAACTACCTGTATCTGCAGCCTGTTGTGATTGCATCCATCCTCAGCGGGGTCTGGGGTATGATAATGATGATCCGTATGGTCAGTGACTCCCTACCAGACTACAAATTACAACAAAAGTTTGTGTGCCTCCAGTTGGTCCTTGTCTTAGCAAAGCTCCAGGGTTTGGTCCTAAGGATTTGCGTTTGGGCTGATTTGTTCCCCTGTAGAGCCCCAGTGACCTCTGCGGTATATGCCAATTGTAAGTTAAAATCAAGTCATTTTGAGTTTATACCCAGTTTTGTTGTCATTTTTGTTGTCAAAGGCATTTAATGAATAAGTGGATTCATGGAATGTTCATGTGGAGTGATCTAAGCGTAAAATCTCCACTAATTGACAAATTTTAATAATTTTATTCTTACAATCTTCCTACCCTCCTTCTTTACCTCCAGCATCAAAACTGCAAAACTGTCGTATAAAATGCGCCCATGTGAGAGCCAAGAGCTCCTATTGCAGCGTAAATCATACCTACCTGATCTGTAAGTCTCACATTAAACCCTGCATAGTTCATTCCTTGAAAACTTTTTGTTCAGAATATTTGTCCGTACCTACCTTTCAAATTTTACTGACCCAGCACCAGATGCCTATTTCTATTTTTAAAAATTAAGTAGGTACCTAACAATTCATATCATCAAAGCAAATGCAGCGAGCTACCTGCACTTTCTTGAAAATCAATTGAATCAATCCTACGCCCATGGTGTCAAGCAAGTAAGATTCCAACAACGAACAGAATTTTCCTGTAACTTGGCAACCACTTAAAGCTTCAAGTTCTGTTGCATAGAGGTGTAAGCCACATGGAATCTCTATCCCTTTCATCGTTTGCAGTTTCAAATAATCGATTCTGGTCAGAGCACCAGACTCCTTCAAGAATGGATACATTTCCATGGGTTTAAAGGGAGAAAAAACGATGTTGCCAATTTGCTGGATCCGCCAATGTTAAGTATCAATTTAAAATTCATTTGCGCTATTGAGTAGCCCTGTTTAATTACTCTTTGGTGCATCCTCAACTCCTGCGTATGTATTTCCCTCATTTACAAGCTAACCATTTCCTTGTTTTTCAAGTGTTGTACAACTCGGCAATGCTTTGGGAGATGATGATCCTGTGCTCATTTGCCCGCATGCTGTATAAAAAATATCTGCCAGAGGTTTACTTCACCAAGCCTGTTCAGTTTCCACGCCACATCATCGGTGTCATTGACAAGCTGGCCAAAGAAGATCTGAAAAATGACAGAACCAGGGAGGATACGAAAACCACTTCAGCCAGGGATAAATTTTGACTCGAAGAAATGATTTAAATTTTCTATGATTTTTTACTCCCTGAAGAGGTATAATGGTCTGTGGTAAGGCAGTAAATGATGGAAAAAAAATTTCCCCTCTGAAAATATCAAAGGACCCAGTGATGTAAAAGACTGAATTTTTTTCCAAAAATGTGGACTTCGAATTTGTGTTTATGTCTATTTTTATTTTTAGACTTTAAGGGCACTTATATTCTTCTTATTCTTCAAAGTAAATTGAAGTTGTAAAGTCTTGATTTCTAAAAGAATTCCTGTGAAGGTAACAGATCTCATTTTAATCAGTTTTGAGCCAGTGTCTTCTCTCTTAGGCACTACTCTTTCAGACATCCCTAAATATCCCTTTTCTATTGATGATCCTTATTTTTGACAAATATCTACCGGCCAGACATTACATGAGTAGAGTAGTTACAGCCTCTCATCATGTAAAAAAAGTATTCACAAAGTAGTCAAATGTACGACAGAAAATATCTTATTTCATTATTTGCAAGAGGCGGGAGAGTATCTCTTATACAAAATCATGACTTAATGTGACTGCCTCATCATCTTGTCGGATTTTTTTACTTTTCATTTGACTGCAGGGTAAAGTGTGTAAAGTGGAAACAGATTTATGGGTCTCATTAATGCTAAGAGTCAGTTCAAATCATACTGAATAATAATGATGTGAACCAAAAAAAGGCGCTTGTCAAAGTTCTTGCAATATCAAATGACGAGTTCTTAATATTACCTGCCTTAAACAAAGGTTCTTCATTGTATTCATTCATTTATTTGTTTTTATTTTCGCGTATTGATAAAACCACTGTCATGTAATTTTTCCCTATTTTAATTGTGACTACATATAAATGTGTTGGAAAAAAACCCCACTGAAGTATTTCCAATTTTCTGTCCTACGCTTCATAATTATGATTCTAATCCATGTATTTACTAATACCTAAATGAGATTTGTCAAAATTTGTGGTCATCGTTCACCTCAAGTGCACTAATGCAAGGCACTGAATTTTTCTATAATGAGAATAATTAAATGGAGAGAATTTTTTTTATCTTTGAGAAATAATTACAATAAAGTATTCTAAGGACATATTTTGTAATTACTTGTTCCGATCCCAACAATGATGCATGCAAATTATCCGTCGTAATTGACTAGTGTGGGCACAGGGAACATTATGAAAAGAACTAGTGTGGCGAGTGATGTCATCCACAATGCTCTCAAAAGGCATAGTTATTACAGGTGGAAATTTGACATTTGGACTTTTTCCAAGCTCACATGATTCAAATATCTAGACATAGGTCCGCATAAAGGCAACTGACCTTTTCAGAGGCGACCTAAATAGTGGCAATAGTGCTTAAGCTTTGTGTTTGAAAAATTATGCTCACTGGAAAACTTCTTACTTTTTCTAATCTTTTATTTGACTCAAAAATGAACAAGGTCCATCACAATATTTTTTTTTTTCAAAAGATTAATGATGCAAGGATTAAACTTGGACAAATACTCTGTCAATTCTTCTCAGAAGGTGAATCTAAATAATGAAAACATCAAGTTTTGAATGAAGATAGGGGCCAGTGCATTTAAACCTATTGATTTCTGAGTTACAAGCAGGAAATCAAACGATGTTAGTTTTTGTACCACCAAGTACAATAGTTGTTAAAGTCTTCTCTGCACAGTGTGACACAGGAAAAGGTCTTGTAAGAAAAATACACTAGGGATCAAACAATTAATTTTACACTTTTTATTTTCAGATGATTTTTTATATTCATACTGATGATGTCACCACATCTTCATGCATACATATCACATTTTAAAAGTAACAAAGGAGAATAGCCACTTTTGACTTTTAGTGAGGAAAAATAATTATAACCAGTTAGAACCAGAGAAAAGTAATGTATGTAACCTCTCGTTCACGAGGAATTAAAAATATGTTCTGCTTTCTTGCGTAGAATCCTTGTAATTTTGTCATCAAAGTAATCTAAGACAAGCGGATGCAAGGCAGCAGAATGGTAGACTGCTCACATTTTTTTTCTTTTGCATTAAATGGGAAGTCTGGGGCCCTGTAGAACTCTTCCCTGAATTTGTTCAATCAATATAATTCTCTGAGAATTTTTACAAAAATTAAAGGTTTCTTTGATCAAAAATAAAATGTCAGTTGGAAATTTTGAAGCTGTGTGACCACTGACCAATATAGATCAATTTTTAAAATTCCTCAAAATGCATTTCTATTTTAATGACACAAGAAAAGGAGAATAAATAAATAAATTATTGAATGTATCAGCCACTCTTAACCTCTCAACTTCTTTTTGACTATAAGTCATCCTGAGGTTATAGAGCTGTGGATTACAACATAGTCTCTCAAGCTTAATTAATTTAGGAATCTTCCTGATCATGATTCAACACAAATATGATAAGGACTTCCAACCAGAGTAGCTAAAATCAATGGAAGATTAATCCTCCATTGCAACGAGGCAAAGTTTTGACAATTTTTAAGTTAAAAATTCCCTGGGAGGGTAATAAATCACCGAGATCATTGAGTTAAGGAACAATACAGATTACCTACAAACTGACGATTTTACAGGATGAAGAAAAAACTAAGGCATTTTTGTCATTTTAAGGCCAGGTGTGCAATTTCTTTTATACATGAGAGCGTCATTATGACTGCAGATTATTAAGTAATGCGGAGTTGGAAAAAACTAAAATCTAATGGTTTACATATTTTATACTGCAGAATGTGGCAGTAACTAAATCATTTTTATCAAAATTAGCAGTTGAAAGATACGGTTTTCCAGCCCCAGCTATGATTTAAATGTAATTTAAAGACATTCTAACATAGGTGACTGAAATTACAGTTTGTGATATTTGTTCTGTTCTACTTTTAACGATAGATTTACGATTATTTTAAAGTAGAACGCACACAAACAACGTTTGCGTGGTTATAAAGAGGTAAAATCAACCTGGAGATCTATAAATTATGTTCCTTCAAAACAAAGAGAGTCATTTTACAAAAATATGAAGAATTGATGGCTCTAGTGTGATTATAAAAATTTACAAATCAGATATATATTTGCATTTTTATTTGTGCTAAAGAATCAAATTTTAAAATGATTAACTTCATATCCAAATTCTTGTGTTTTTCCAATTCTGGTGTGCATGTAGAGGCTATTAATAAAATTGACATCGGGAAAATGGGGGGCGGGGGTATATTTTTTCTCCCAAATTTTATGAAGAATTTAGTGCAAATCCAACTCATGTTCAAAATTCACACAAAATTTGTTAGGGGGGGGGGGGCTTTTTTTCAAATTTTGATGAGAGTGGCTGCTATCCTAACCCATATAAAAAAAATTTCAAAAAAACATGTGCTCTCAAACGATAAACATACAAATATTATATAATTTAAATAGACTATTTTTGGAAAACTAGTGCATACATTAATAGGACCATTTAATCAGCTACTGAACTTCAAAGAAATTCCAAAAAGGTTTCCTTCTTGAGGCATTCAAGGATGTCTCAGCATCATGGAGATCATTTCATACAAATTTACAGTAATAAAAAAATGAGGGTACCTCAATATTTTCTTATCATCAAACAATTTGATTGAAGAGAAAAAGCAAGTACAGTTTTCTTTCATCGCTGGTAGAGCTGCAGCAAGGAATTAAAGAACAAGTAGGTAACTTCTTGGTAACCTAAAAAATCTTCAGTCTCAAAAATTTGGCAAACTGGGACGGTGCTCACAATCAGCAAGAGAAAAAAGAGATAGTGTGTGACTTGATTGTTTCCTTCTTAAAACCACAAATCTCCAGGTTCAGCTTCCTCATCTTCATGCTTGGGGGTGGGCTGGACCATTGACTCAACCAAACCACTGGTTTCACTGTCCATTTCACCAGACGGCAGATCATCCGCTGCTTCTCGTTGTGAATCTTCCTCCTCCTTCTCTGTCATACTTGTGCCCTCTGCTTCTTGAAGCTTTGCCTGCGACTCTCGCTCCATCAAGAAATCTGATGGATCGTAGTTCGGGTCAACATCCATGCTTTCTTCTGAAAGGCAAAAGAAAGAAGATAAAGAAAAGTTGAAAAACGCAGAGATAAAAGGGATGTATTCCTAATGAAAGTAATGTAAGGTGAATGGACTGTTCTGCGCAGAGAATTTCTTCCAAAAACAGATGTTTGGTGAGCCCACGTTGAAATTTTGTGTTTGTCTTGTGAACAAGGCAAGACTGAGGTGGAACTGACTAAAAGCAGCTTCCTGATGGGTGACGACCAATTGGTTACGACCCTCCATAAGAGACTCAAGCCATACATCTAATTATTCGACCTATGATAAAACTCAATTACCTCAGATTTGTCTCATACAAATCTCAAAATTCAGCCACCAGAGTCTCATGAATACTCCTTGCCTTGGTAAAAAAAGAAAAAAGAAATCGACCTCATTGTTTCAGAAAAAATAGATTAGCTTCTTTTATCAGGGAAATGCCAATTTTTGCAGAGTTTCCCCTTAGATGTAAGACTTACAAATGAGGGGCTCGGAGGACAAGGCACTTAAGTGCAGTTTTTGCCGTTTCGAGAAATATATGTTTGAAGTTATGAAATTACATAGATCCTTATGGTGAAAAGAAAGTTCAAACTGACTTTTTGATACTTAAAAATTGGAATTAGGGAGCAAATTTTTCACAGAATATGCATTAAGACTAGTTTTACTTGAAATCATTAATATCTCAATTTTTTCAAGAATTGCACTTAGGTGCCTTGTCCTCCAAGTCTAAATCAATCTAATCAATCCATTACAGTACATTAATTGGCAACTTGTTGAAACGTTCTGCTTAAAAAGAATCACTTCGATGGATAGAATACTTTCAAATTTTGAACAAGGAAAATTTTGAGGACGACTGCATACCTTGAACAATCTGAGGTTCTTCCATACTACCAGATTCGTTGGGGGCTGAAAAATAGGCAATATTGCCTAGCTGCATCATTGCCTCTGCAACTTGTTGACTGTCGTTATCTGGCTCATCAATATCCTCCTCACTTGAAAATCGTAAATCTGAAATGTTAGGATGGGAGAATAAATCAAAACTTTGAAATCTGAGAGGTGCAAAAATAAGAGCAAAGAATGTGTGAGACAATATAGCATTTAAAACAAGAACTTGGAATGCTCATACAATAACAATTTCCTTTTTTCCTCTTCTGTACTAAATTCAGAAAGCTTGATGCAATATCTTAGGAGTAAAACTCAGGCAGTTGCAAATTATATGCGTGAATTAGAATGAAATTATAGAAATAGGAATTAGTAAACGGCTCAAAACTGCATAGGGAATTGAAAAAAAAAAAAAAAAAAAAACTTGGAATAACTTTAATCGGTTATTGCTACAGCATAAGCAATTCGTCTAATCATAAATCTTTTCAACATGAAATGAAAAAAAAAAAAAAGAAGGAAAAAGAAAATCATTACACATCAGGGAACAAAAAGGGGATGTAAGGGCAGACTCCAGTTGATAAGAACTTACCTTCTTCCAGTAAATCAGTTTCTGTTTTCGTAAGTGATGAGGAGCGTTGGTCTTGTGTATCCTGAGTGTATTCTTCACTGTTTGACTGGTAATATTCCTGTATGTAAAACACAACGTAATTAAAAATAAAACTAAAAACTAATTTACTATACAGCAATTTGAAAAATCGAAATTTGCTTATTTCCTTACATCCTTTATTTTTTAAAAAGAAAACTAAGCAACACTTTTGACTTGGTATTTTGGGAATTTATTCTTGATAATCAAGGGTAATTTTAAAGAAAGTTCCAAAGCATTATGTTAGTTAGATTTCTGTTAACAAAGTAAAAAATGAAAGGAAATTAGGTAACATTAAATGCGGTAAGGCTAATTCCGGCTAATTGCTTTGAGCTAAAACTCTATTGTCAGTCGAGTATCAAATCTTTACTACACATCTGCTTCATAAAATTGGTGCATACTGCATTTTGGGGTAGTATTTTGCATGGAACTGATGAAGAATGTGACGATAATTTTTAGGGGCTCATTTTGTGAGCAAGTATTAATTCAGTTCCACCAAATCCCTGATGCCACTAATGTACCTCTTTTATATCGTCCCACAGGTACTCGGAACCAAATAAGAAATAGTTATTAAAAATGTATCGGGACCAAATTTACCTGACTAGTTTTATGAGCAATGGTGAAGTTTTCATCCTCCTGCCATTGACCCATTGAGTCAAAATCTGCTTGTTCTAGAGCTCGCTCCCGAGTGGCATTGATGTCTGACTCTAATTTTGTTAAATGATCATCATACTGGAAAGAATAAAAATGATTATTAAAGCAATGGGATTGTTACATGCACCTTTTTCTGTTATATTTTCTCATTTTATTATTTGTAATTTTCTAAAATTTTCTTTTTTAAAAAAAAAATTCCATTGATAAAGTAGCAACAGTTTAGTTAATTTAGAGTCATCTCATTTTAGCTGATGCCACGTTATCAGTTGACACATTGTCTCTCTCTGTTTTTCTGATACCACCTCTGGGCTTTCAACTTCCTGCCTTTGGCATTCCCTGAAATCCAAGAATTCCGAAAGAGAATGATACAGGAATTTAGGATGTAAAAAATAAATAGTGAAAACTATTTGAATGCAAACAAAGACCGATTTTCAGGACCCATCGACAGAAAATTCAGGGAGAGATCCAATCTGAAATACTTAAAACGTGTAAAGTCACCGAAGTAGAGAATGACACAGTGTTTTAGGTCCGGATCAGACAGCTAATTTTGTATGGTCATGTTAACTTAACGGCAGAGGAAAAACTGCCAAAAGTGGTGCTTTGCTTCACTTAAAAATGTATGTGGAGGCCACTTTGTCGGTGAAAGGATAGTGATAAATGGTTTTGAACCAATTGAAGGAAAGCCAGCTTCCTCAAAAATTTGAGAGGATGGAGGTTATGGCAATTAGGTTTTCCAGAGCGCAAAAGAAAGTTGTAAAAACGGCTTACATGTATGAAGCAGAATAACTTTTAAAAATGACGGATTTTCAAGAATACTTTTTAAATGTAAAACAATGTAACGAAGTTCAAAGAAACTTACACTTTCGAGTGCTTCCTTGGTAACTTTCACAAGATTTTCAGCTTGTTTGCTGTATGAAGATTCTTTGCCATTGTAGATAACGCAGTTCTTCAAAATAAGTTCGATATCATGGAGGAATTCATAACGAGAGTGATATTTATGAGCTGTACAGAGAATATATCATGAAACTATTTATTTTTAACAAATTTCAACAAAAATAAAATTAAACGTTTGGTTAGGGTTGCAGAAATCTCTCTGCTCTCAAAAAAATTTGGTTTGCTTTCACAAAAATACTGTTACAAAGACGGGGCTACCTATGTGCATTAGAAAGACCCTGTTTTTACAAAAAAGCAGCATGCTCAAAATTTTTCTTAACACAAAAGCAGTGCGCTTAGCTAATTATTTCACCAAAACTAACATGTAACTTGGTCTGTTTTAGAAAAATCAACGTCATTTCGTACTTTCAGAGAATTAAAATGAAAATACAATAAATAAATTGAAAAAAACCCTTGTTAGCTGATTAAGAGAGGCGATATAAGTTTTTATAGTGACTTGCGGAGCCAAATTAAGAAAATGAATGTTGAATGAAAATTATTAAATATTTTTTCACTCCCATGTTTCGTGCCAAAATTGTTTAAAAACAACAAAGCGGAGTTTGAACTTACCACTGACTTTTTTGGCAATTGTCTCCAAGTCCATTGGTTGTTTGATGACATCGTAGTAGTCCTTAATTTGCTTCTTGTTGACAGGTTTCAAGAATGGCCATGCATCATGAAGAGTCTTTAATTTAGTTGAAATAATGCTCTCAAAGATATATGAGAGAGCTACCTGATCATTATCATCCAATAAAGGATTAATCGCTTTTTCTAAGCGCATCAGACGCTCTTCCTTCTCACTCAGTCTCTGAACACACAATGACATCATTGACTTAGCAGCCACTGTCAGAGAACTTTTCGCCCCTATAAAAGAAAAAAATAAAACAGGTTTAAAGACTTAAACATATGTAAAACTATTACAAAATATAATTTTTCCCCAGCATAGAATTATTGAAAGTCTTTCCGGCTTTTTCTGCATCCTCCAGCAAAAGAAAAAATACATTCAGTGCGTCTGCAGACAATATCTTTTCTGGAATCAATTTATCAAAATACAGGAGATTTAGGTGAAAATAAAGGAAATGAATTGCAGTCAATTCTTGCTAGGTGATGACCTGAATAAATGAGAAAACCCGCTGACTAAGCAAGATCAACTGGTCCCGTTTTCGTCCATTTATGTCATGATAACAAACTTGCATCACACGAGAATCTGCTGACTAACAGAGTCCTCTAAGCAGCAGATTTTTCTTGGTCAAAAACTTTGACAATCCCGGATAACAAAGAAATTTTTAGGTTTTTTCTTTCAAATTATTTTCAGCTCTCTATTGATCCTAAGTCAAATAAAAAAAAATTGATAAATTTCCTGAGAAATTTGAGAAATCTTTATGTGAATGGAGACAACAGTTGAGTTACTTACCATTGTATAATGTTGAATTTTCTACGATTTGATTCACGTCTGAAAGGAACTCTTCTCTATTTTGATACCTATTTTTTCGCACATTTTCTCGTATTGTTTGGAGATCCATTGGTCTTGAAACTATTTTATAATAATCAGGTACAACCTGAAAAAAAATATATTTTTATCAAATGGATTGATCCTTAAAGAGTCAGATTTTAATGAAAACACAACAAACTTTCATTTTTTAAGGGAACCTTTCAAATACGTTTCAGAGATCTGTTACTTCCATTCATTTTTAACATATGGATTTTTATGTAAATAAACAGTGTTTATAATTCGGCATAGAGACTAGACATTTTTTTGACGCATAAAAAAAGACTTTGATAATGTATAATCTTAGGAATGATACAAAACATTTCTTTGGATAAAACCTCTTTGTACTAATTTTTCTAATTCCTGAGAAGATTAAAATCAAACTTGGCTGATCCTTGACTTCTTTTGCAAAGGAAAAAAGGCACTCACATACTCCTTGCAATTGAGAATGAAAATTTATATGAAATTATTATACATTATTATAATTTTAATGAAATTTATATCTCTACTTTAAACACTTGGATACATTCTTGAAAAAATTAATAACAGGAAAAAAAAACTCATGCATTTGCTTAAAACAAAATTTTTTAGATTCGCAAGTTTGTTCTGACTCACTTTGGCATTAACAGGGAACAGAAACTGCTGAACATCTCGCAAGTCCCTCATTTCATTGAGAATTGACTCAAGGATAGTTGCGAGGACAACAACCGGGTCAGTCCTTCGTCTGTTGGTAGGTTTGTGATGTTTCTTGAGATAATCACAATGTAGATCATCCATTCCTTTCCGCTTCCTGTTCATTCTCAGTGCATCCCTGGGCACTTTCAGCAGAAGAGACTTGCGTTTTGCTTCTTCGGCATGCTAAAACAATGAAAAAACAACACATTACTAAGAAAATGTTACAAACTATTCCCTAATAGGACAATGAGTAAACTATTTCCATGACAAAAAGATACCAAAGTATGTATTGATCTTCAGACTAATTATTACACACATACATTCAAGTCTTTTTTACAGCGCGCCCGGGCGCTCTGCAACACAAAATCGCCATTCCTGCCTATCGATCCAGAGGTCATCTAGTAAATGGTGTCTAATTTCATCTTGAATGCCACCTATCCATAATTTTCCTGAACGTCCCCTACGTCTTTTCTCAGGAGGAACCCAATCTAGTACCTTCTTAGGCAAAATCCAGTCTAAGTCCAGTCCAGTCTTCTTCCAGTCTAATTATTATCCAGAAGTAAAAGTAAAAGGCTACTTATGCTTTTCTTCTTTTCCTACCGACAAGTTTCAGGTTTTCAAGAATTTGAGGTGTTCAAAGGATCGTTTTTTTAAATTGAATGATTAAAAAATTTAAAAACTATTGGTCTGAATACAGAACAAAAACTCAAAAAAATAAAACTCATTTCAATAAATATTTTAAACCCCCCCCCNCTTATTGTTTTATAGCGGGGACGGGGGGCATAATAATTAAGATCCAAATATTTATCACAAATATCTATACTTTATTTAGCATGTATACATATGTATATATTTTGCACCAATTATCAATCGTAATGTACAGCACCTGTACATTCTGTAATCTAGATAGGGCCGGTGTCGTACCAGCCTACCCATTATTGTAAAAGTAGTCCTTAGTTCCTAGTTATAAGAAATAGAGTTAATACCATGTAGTCCTCTATTCTTTCAATAAAGAAAATTCTCTAATAGGGTAATAATAAGTAAACTATTTCCATGACAAAAAGATACCAAAGTATGTATTGATCTTCAGTCTAATTATTACATACATACATTCAAGTCACTTTTAAGACACGCCCGGGCACTCTGCGGCAGCTCATCGCAATTCCTGCCTATCGATCCAGAGGTCATCTGGTAAATGGCATCTTGTAATTTCATCTTGAATACCACCTATCCACAATTTTGCTGGACGTCCCCTACGTCTTCTCCCAGGAAGAACCCAATCTAGTACCTTCTTAGGCAAAATCCAGTCTAAGTCCAATCCAGTCTTCTTCCAGTCTAATTATTATCCAGAAGTAAAGGGCTAGTTATGCTTTTCCTCTTTTCCTGCCAACAAGTTTCAGGTTTCCAAAAGATTTCAGGTGTTCAAAGGATCATTTTTTTAAATTGAATTATTAAAAAATTTAAAAACTATTGGTCTGGATACAGAACAAAAATTCAAAAAAATAAAACTCATTTTAATAAATATTTCGAATCCCCCCCCCCTCCAAGAAAAACAGTTGTAAATATTAAGTGAGTGGAGAAAGAAAAAAGAATAGGAAAGCGAGTTATCCCATTTTGAAAATTACACGAATGCATCCAAAGCTTACTTCAAATATTGCAAGATTGAGAAAAGTACCTTGATAACTTTACTGGACACAGTGAGTTTTGTGCCATCAATATTGACTAGATCTTCTTCTTCTTTGTTTATTTCTCGTGGCATGTCTTCTATGGGCTCATCCGCTTGCTGTAGGCTAGACAAAGGAACTCCACCAGTTGCTGAGTACAGTGGACACGTTTTATTTGTCCTCATGTGCCCTACCTGCAATACAATAAATCAATTGAATGAAGAGGATAAGGCGCAGCTATGGCTACTTATCATATAAGAAATGGAGAAGAAATGATCAATGTTGGAGATGAATCCATATTGAGTTTAAAGTGTGCCTACTAAAAAGTAGTGCTAAGAGTGAGCTACAATTGAGGCTACAAATTCAATCAAAGGTTGAATAATGATGGAATATGGTCAAATTTACTATGATTGTCCTTAAAGATTCAATAGAGGAAGACATACTTGACCGCAGGCTCCACATTTCAGTTTGAGGTCTGGTCTGACTTTTGGAGGTCTGCTTTTCTTGGGACTGATATGCTGCTTGACATGCTTGTGTTTATGATGGTGGTGGTGATGATGTTTGTGCTGACTGCTACTTCCCAACGAGTCAAGTCCGCCTCCCCCTCCTCCTCTGCCAGCTGAAAACAACAACCAAGATGATGAGCAAGTCACAACTAATCAACTTGGGAGAGATAGGATGAGTTTACATTTTCAATCAAGTGTATGAGAGGTGTGGTTTAAAAAACAGGAGCACTTCAGTAAAGTATCCAGGTTCATGCTAACATTGCTGCTCTCTTGAAAAAGCATTGTTCCAATACTGTTACATCTTGGTTAATGGCCTTGTAACTTATTATAGATAAACTCATCAAACCGGCAAATCAGGCCTCGAATAGAATGTGATTTATCCAACAACTTTGAAAACATCTTAAAGACTAAATTTTTCAGGACTGAGGAAAGTAATTATTTCCTCAGACCTATTGACTTCAAAAAGACTAAGGAGAGATTTTGTGTCACACAAGAATTTTCATGGGTGGAATTGTTGGATCAACAAAAATAATGCCACAATACTTACTTAAAAAGCGTTCCCGCTCTTGATTCCGTTTAATCCTCCGCAACTGTTCCTGAATACGGCGTTTTTCCCGTTTCATTTCCTCTTTTTGTGCATCATCAGGAGTTGCAAACTGCCTGATAAATGCTTCATCTTTGGTTGATCGAATTTTTACATAAGCGTCAATCACAGCCAGTTTTCGCACAACTTCCATTCGTGTATATTCTTTCCCTTCTGGATCACGGAATGTTCGGTAAATCTTGAGAACGCGTTCTAGAAACACAACAGTAAAAAGATGAAGGATCTCCATTGATTTTACCAGATACGATTAAGGGTTAAAAACTTAAAAAGACATTGAGAAACTTTACATTCCGTTTTTGGGGAACATTATTGAGGAAGCTGACTTTGTCAAAGACATAAATATGCCTGTTACAAACTAAAGATACAAATAAATGAATATACTTTCTAGAGATAAAATTACAAATATGTGATAATGAACACAAACAAATTTCTGAAATTCACTCCTCAATGCACAATTATTGTTTACAAAGTTCCCACATCCGCAGCCATTTTTTCTCTCTACTATCAGCAACCAGGTTTGATTAGACAGAGATAAAAGCAAACCCACCCAAATACACCAACAATCTTGCAAACTGTTATCAATCTTTTTCATGAGCTTCTGTTGTTTTCAAACATTCATTTTTTCTTTGCATACAGAAAGAGAGGCAAAAACAAACACTGAAAAAATGACTGAAATCCTGTATGAAAAACGTTGGAAACAGTTGGCAAGATTTTGTGTACATTTCGGATGGGTTTTCTTACATCTCTCTCTGTGCAAACCTCCTTGAAAATGATGAGGAAAAAAAAGAACCAGAAAACTTGAGAATACTTGATACAGACTACTGCCAAAATTGTGCGTTAAGAGATGACTTGAAACCTTCTTTACATGCTTATCAGGATTTTTGGAAAGTTTTATCTGCTATGAATTTATTCATTTATCATCATCTCTTGTGAGCAACATTATACTTTAGCAGTGATGAAACTGCAAAATTAGAGAAACTGAATAAAAAAAATAAGCGGGATAAGTCGTGTTTTTGGCACATGTGATTTTTTAATGTTCTGTGCATCTGTTAGCATTTGCTGACTGCAATATGCATTCCAGCACATACAACCAAGCATTAGGCGCGTTAGCAAAGGTGCTCTTGCACAAACATGAGAATATAGAATATCGAGATGTGATTACCTTGCTGTTTCATACCAGGGAAACCACTAAGCGATTGGCTATCTTCTTCATCCTTTTTCTTGTCTGATTTTTTATCGTCAACTTCACCCATCATGAGTTTCTGCAACTCTCGCCTCTCTTGCTCTTCCTTCTCGAGGGAAAGCTACACAAATTGCAAAAAAAAAATTGCATGAGGATAGAATATTTTGAGCAGCTCTTTTTAGCTATGGAAGCGGTTTGCTCAAATGATACCGGTGGAAAGAAAATATGAAGAAACACAGTATTGCTCTTCTTGAAAAGAAAGAGGGGATAGAAAAAAAATTATAATTGCTATCCTTTACAATTAAAAATTGAACACTATTACAAGACGTGAAACCAGTTATGAGTTGCAGCTCTCGGTGATGCTGGCAGTGTCGAAAGGCGTATTAGTTGCTAGTTTTCAATGGAGCAGTCTCATTTATTTTAAGCATTTTCCTTTCCATAAGATAATTGTACTAAATGTAGGTTTTTGCAAGTCTCTTTTGGTCTAGAAGTAGGCTGTAGATTAAAAATTATCAGAAACTGAATCATGGCTATACTGAGAAGCACTATCTATGTTGAGTGGGGAAGAATCAACAACTTCAGGTATGCTGTGGCAGTGAAATATTGCTACTGGAAATCAGCTGACTATGGAGCCAACTCCATACACATTAGAGGAGGGCACTTTTTTACTGAGGCAAATGACACTTGTACTTTTGAATTTATTATGGTTGATTTAAATCGAATCATCAGGTAAACTCTTGCTGTAACTAGGGTAGGTGTTCTGAATACAATACAAATTTGTGAAGTTTTAAAAATAGGGGATGTCGATTAAAATACCAATTTTTATGACTGTATGCATAAAAATATTATTTATACGAAAAAAAAAATGTTTCACAAACCTGTGTGCTAGTCTTTTTGTTTGCCAACATATTTTCCAAATTTTTACCCATTTCCTCAATGTCCGACCCATCTTCATCAGTGCTCTCGCCTTCATCTGTTGAGAGAACTTCTTCAGAGGCTAAAACTCGGTTTTGAAGATCAAAGATCCTTTGGCATTCCTCTTTGTACCTAAAATAAGAGGCAAATTTACATATCTGACGGACAAGAAACTTAGAATGCGTCTAATAACTTAGTAATTTATGCATTACAGAGAGAAGGGATTTGCAATAAATTTGCTAGGAGCTAAATTAAGTAAATTTATAAAGACAGAAGCAGACATAGAATTTCAGGTAAAATTCAGCAACCAAATTTGCAGGTCAACTTTCAATACATAGGTACATGTATATTTAAAATAAGTGAAAAATCATGGGAAAATACCACAAAATTTCAGTTCTACAAGCTATTCTTACCTTTCTTGGTGTTCAGCGATTGAAAAGCGATTGCCTCGAGAGAACTTAGTCATTCCTTCCTCCCCTGCTTTGGCTTTCTCTGTTGATAAAGTTCGGACGACATCAATCACTTCCCATCTGGACAGTTTTTTTATCTGAAAATCACAATTTAAAAGAGAGCTAGAAAAACAACACACAAATGTCTTTTGTTTCAATAAAAGATTGCAACAGAAAAATTTGTTTTATCCAAAATTATTTGTAAACTGTAATTGCATTTGTGGATTTGGATTGAAAGTATTTGTGCAACGCTGAGATAAACACGGGAGTGAATATACAATTTACACGTCCTTCTTTTTGTTTCCAAATGGAATAAATTGATTTCAGCTTTATAAAAAAAAAATTTACCTCTTCCTCGGGAACACCAAATTTCCGAAGGAGGTTTTTGGCATTGCTCAAAGACAATTTTCGCAAATCTGCATCTGTTCCAGTGACAATTCGTTTTGGTTGCGCTTCTTGTTCTTCTTTACTTTGCTAAAAAAGAAAAAAATGTGTTGATAGAGCCACAAATCACTTATACAATTTCATTAATTCTAGAAATAATTAAAGTACTGTGGAAGTTTAAAACACTGCACAGAATTCAGTTCAATAAAATATGTACCATAGAGTTGGCTGGAAACACTTACCACTTGTTACATTTTTTTTTCAAGCTATAAAGTCGACTTGTTTTTCTTCAAAAAAATAAACTAGGAGCAGAGATTTTGAAACACCACAATAAAGTTATGTGGTGTTGTGCTTTAGTCATCGATATATGAAATAGATTCTGTGGATTTAAATTTCCTCCCATTTACTCAATTGTTTGAAAAAAAGGTTATTTTTTTTCTCTCTAATAACTTATTCCTTGGCTAACTTTACATAACTACTTAAATTTGAGACATTTGACAACTGTAAGAGATAAAACAAGGTACTTTCTGACATGCATGCGATATTATTTTATTCTAAGGCAACAAAAGGATAAGAGACAAACATGAAGATTTCAGTAAAATGACTGTTGAAAAAAGAAAAAACTTACAGTGGGTTTGTTGGGCACCCTAACGTATGAGAACCCTTCACCACAGCCAGTGGGATCTGCAGGCCCTGTCAGCTGTAGTAGGCACTTGCCTTTCATCGCTTGAATATATGCACGAGTTGTATTCCATGGAGCGACTTTAATCTCATCATCCATTTTCAGTTGTAAATCTTCGTCATCTTCGTCTTGTGGTGTAAAAATGAATTTTTCACCATAACCAGCATCCTATAACAGATGTTACATCAGAATAAAATAGTTGTACAATAAGCGAGTATGACAATGGAACATTTTCTTTCAAAAATCCTCAGAACAGATCAGTCAAAAAAGGGAACACAATAATACTTAAATGTGTAATAAATGTGTGTGTTTAATAAGTACATTTGTTTTAAAAAAATTGAGTTTAAGAAAGTTATTTCTTTGTCTTTACCTCAAGTTTTTGCAAGACAAACTGCAAAAACAGAGTAAACCTCATCTTTTTTATCATAAATGCTTACGGATAAACTGCACTGATTACACAATTTCACAGAGCCAAAAATGACTTTGCCGGTCGTACACAGAAATATGTTTACCTCATGGTATGTGCTTAAGAATTTCCATGATGGAAAATCAAGTTGCTGGGTATCTTTAGGCGCATACAGGATGAGATTTTTTGTTTGATAAAATTGAATTGCTTTTCGGAAAATTTTTATGGAGCATGTGAGTAAGTAAAACACTGGAATAAGATAAGATCAAATACTGGACAGGAAAATTCAGATTATTTTCATATGGCATACTCACAAGACAAAAATATACCTAAAAATTACTTACTTTCAGCCTCTGTTCAGCGGCAATCATACTGAAATATGCGCAACACTGCTCTGGAGAGACCATAGCACGGATTTCCTCTTCAGTGGGCAGACGAAAATCAGGCCTGATGACCCACCAATTAGAGTCCAAACCTTGAAGAGAGTAAGGGGGAAAAAAAGATAACACAAAATTGCATTTGATAACTCAAGCATGTAATGATAGAGGAGAAAACCCACAAAGGTGCAATGGTATGATTTGGATTTCTAAAATGAAGGTTTACTAAGAAACACAATCGTTCAAAAAAATGTAATGTGTTTACATACCTGAAAATGTAATATTTTATTTTTATGATACATATAATTAAATGCAAATTTAATCTCTTTTTGTCAACCCATAGATATCAATAAATTAAAAATTCAAGAGCAGACCAATTTTTTTTAATAAACTACCTTTAAAAAATTCATAATTATTGAAATTACAAAGAAGACTGAAGAGAAATTAGTATGTTTTAGATTTACCAGTTCTTTTAAAATCTGCGCACAATTTCAGTCGTTTCCTCAGACTACTTTCTGAATGAGAGGGAAAAGCTTTGCGAATATCATCCATTTTAATACGTTTAGGAACATCAGTACTTTTCCAGAACAATCGATAAATGAAGACCTGGAGTGAAAACCAAATTAACACAAAATTATTGAAAGGAGAAAATAATATGATAGAAAGAAATCAACAGTCCTAACATATGAATTTTATTTGGCATAGGAGAACCAAAGTGATTACAGGGTTTTTAAAACTGTGCAACTTCTTCTTTGATTTAAATAATACTAAAAATATGTGCAGTAATACAATTTATAAAATGGGTTTTTTTATGAAATTAATAATTTTTTGGTAAAACAAAAACTATTTGCTACTCTGGGCATTTTTTTAGATGAAAAAGAAGATGAACGCTTTGACAACACAGGACTGTGTTGGTCTTCATTTTTAAATGCTATCTATGTGTGAGATAAGAGCACAGAAAAATCCTGTTCAGATGCTGTAGGAATTAATTCAGAAAAATGCGACGGTTTAAGATGTAGGGATCTCGGTTTCCGACCTTTACCAAGGAAGTTAAAAATATATGATAAATATTGTTCAGCCACCACTCTAAGAGTAAGACAAGAATAAAAGCGATTGTAAATAAAATACAGCTAGCGAGATTTTACATAAACGCATAGGCAATGGCAATCAATCAAGATCATATAATTTTGCTCTGCTGAAATCTATGTAACTGACTTTTATTGATCAGAATAGATGCAAGTTGTAACTTTTGATGATTTCATTGAGACAAGACAAATCCATCATTTTTACCTGCAAAAAATCTCTGACAAAGTTGCTAGCACGTTTGGAATTTGGGCCTGGAACTTCATACAAAGGACATAACTGACCTGCAACAAATGTAGCATCTACCTCTCTTACACAATACTGGTACCTGCAAAATAAAAAATCAATTGTTAATATTCTAGAGTCATTGCAAGAGATTCTAAAATGAATCATTTAAATGGCTGACTGATTCCCCTACCCTCCAAAAAAGAGAAGAAAGTACTGCCACTGTGTATATGTTTTTAGTCTCATGGTATTGAGAGGATTAACAGTAAAATAAACTGCACCGAAAATCACGGAATTTGACGCTGGATAAATTTCGTTATTATTTAATATGATCTCCTTAGCAACCTCTTGGGCATGATGAGCTTTTACAATGGGCCTGTTGCAAACTTTTGCTAGAGCAAAACTAAGAGTTGTTTCCTGCAGATAATGCCCCAAAAATCACGATGAGCGCATCGGCAAAGTCTGAAATGCACTCATAACTTCACAATCTGCGTAAGATATTTGCGGTTTTTTGAGCTTCCCGCTTCGGAAACGATACTACGGTACAGGTGAACATTTTGTTAGAGGAGTCGTTCCATTGGCGACAATACTCATCATGGCCGACGCCAGTCCGCCAAAACACGTGTGATGGGACGAGATAACACCTGAACAGGATTAAACCATAACAATCGGCGTGTTTACGTTCATATTTTCCTCGCCCGCCTTAATTGACCTTGAACTCTCCTCGAATTACGTGAGGAACTGCGCAAGCGTCGGCCATGATGAATATTGCCGACGATGGAGCGACTCCTCTAACAAAATGTCCACCTGTGCAGTAGTATCGTTTTTGAAGCGGGAAGCTCAAAATAACGCAAATTTCTTACGCAGATTGTGAATTTATGAGTGCATTTCAGACTTTGCCGATGCGCTCATCGTGATTTTTGAGGCATTATCTATAGGAAACAACTCTTCAATCTGCTCTAGCAAAAGTTTGCAACAGGCCCATTAACCTCTATGTACCAATTACCAAAAAACGGGGCTAAAAAGTTAATTTTTTGCCCTTTCCACACATAATTTCTGATACAGATGTGGGATAATTGCTACGTGTGTGTAGATGCTGCGCCACACTGTCATCTTTTGGAGGAATTAATTATTTTCATCCATCTTATCTTCCTGGACAGCAAGGCAACAAAAGATCTCCTTGATCACCCATTAAATATTGCAACATTTCTACTGGATACTGGGTGTAAAAATTCTGAAAAATTAAGTTTTCCACCCTGCTTTTGACGGGGCACAAGGAAATCTTGCTCTCTTGCAGAAAAGGTCATGAACAAAATTAGATAAAAAAAAAAGGAAATTTAGACGGTGTTGAATCCTTTCATTTTCCATGCAGGGCATGCTGTGAATTTTCGAGTAACAATGTGACTGTCGCAATGGTGGTTATGGAAACTGAGTTGATTTCAAATTATTTGAAAACTAAAATTGTGGACATACCTTGTTCTAATGACTAAAAAGTCAGTGGGCACGATTTTGTGTTCGTAGATTGGGGCCCGGTACATCATGTTCTCAATTGCTTGAATTGACTTTCCGGGAGAAAGAACTCCCAAGAAAGGCGAAGTGTGAGCATATGCTATTTCTCCATACTTGAAGTCTTGTGGTCCTTGGTCTTTTCCCGCTTTACGTTTGTAGTAGTTCTTAAATTTTGTGCACATCCCAACCTAAAAATTGGCAAAATTGATGATCAAGAACACGAATTCGATTTTAGAGGATATGAAATCAATGAATATATCAATGACTGATAAACAAAGTGGAGAAATAGCGCTGGGTCCACACCATTTCACAGGGAAAACAAGGACAAGAAATTCCAAAAATTATTCAATTAGAGTCAAAAAGATTTTTTGCACTAATGAGTACCAGTACAAAACTGAGTACTTTCTCCACCTTGTTACATACCGTTTGGGCCACTTCTAAATGTTCCCCCGCCCCCCTTAAATGACTGATAATCAATGACTTTATCAATGACTGAAGATCAATGACTTTATCATTGACCGATAATCAATGACTCTAGGAGATGTTGACATTTTGGGCAAAAGCTACTGTCAATTTTTGGGACAAAATTAACTGCATTACTTGGATACAGGAAATTCATTGTTCGGGGAATAGATTGACAAATCAATGAACAAATAAATAAATTACCTGGTTTACGAGCGGAGGATGCTCTTCACAGAACTCTACCAGAACAATTTCACCATCTTTGCCAGTGAGATCTTCAGGTGTCCTCATGAAAAACACATCTCCTCCACCTGAGGCTGCCCGTTCTTGCTCTCGCTGCTTTGCTTTTTTCTTGATGTGTTTAAGCAATGGCAGAGCAGGGTGCGGACCAGGATGAGCCAGCGGTCCATGTGAAAAGCGTTTAAGGGGAGGTCTATGGAAATTCCTTAGGCGCACAGGGCCCATGTGAGTTTGAATGAATGGTGCACGCAACTCCACGACTGGTGTTGAATGCTGGATTAGATTTGCGCCACCTACTTTCAGACGGAGTACTGTTTCGTGTGATTTTGGTTGATAGTGGCTGGAAAATAACATGTTTAATCAGTACTACTTAATCAGTAGCCAAAGAGCAAAATTTGGATACTTTCAATAAATATTTAGGGATTTTTGGCACATTAATTAAAATTACAGGTAAAATTACCGTCTATTCCCTTAATTGCCGGCGATAGCTTTTCAAAATTTTACTTAGAGGTAAAATATTGATCCAATAATAAATGCATGCAGTGCTAACAAGAAAAGGAAAGTGGAAAGAAAAAGTGGCTTTCTACAGGAGTGGTGCATTTTGTTATCTGTGGATGATGAAAAACATGAGGATTGAACTAGGACTAAAATTAGGCCAAAATCGCTCTGCAACCGTTCCATGCTTGAATCAAATTTTGTTTGCTATTTCATTTTGAACACCCATAACTTGTTAAAAGCCAGGCAATTTTGTGCATTTACAAGCAACATGAAAGCACATCTTTGAAAGAGGCAACTTTTTCTTTAAAACTTGAATGCCCAAACTGTACAAAATGAATTCATCTAAAGAGTCTAGTGAAAAAAATTCAGCCCGATCAGAGGTGGCAGCTTGGGAAGATCCCCTTCTCTGTAAAATTCCACTGTGATGTCTCTCTGAGGAAAGACTATGACCAATGGGTCTGTTGCAAACTTTTGCTAGAGCAAAAATAAGAGTTGTTACTCATAGAAAATGTCTCAAAAATCACGATAAGCACATTGGCAAAGTTTGAAATGCACTCCCAACTTCACAATCTGCGTAAGAAATTTGCGTTTTTTGGAGCTTTCCACCTCAAACACGATACCACAGCACAGGTGAACATTTCCTTAGAGGATTCATCCCATCCAACCCCTGCTCACAAGGATACCACGCAATATTCAACATAGCCGACACAAATTCGCCAAAACACATGTGACGGGACGATGATCCTAACCACCTGATAACAATCGGTGTCATTACATTCACATTTTTCCCACGTTGATAGATAGCCACCTTGATTGACCTCCTGCTCTCCTCAACTTGCGCGCGGAAGCGTCGGCCATGTTGAGCAGGGATTGAATGGAACGACTTCTCTGACGAATTGTTCACCTGTGCCGCAGTATCCTTCCCGAAGCGGGAAGCTTAAAAAAATTTCTTACACAGATAATGAAGTTAGGAGTGCATTTCAGAGTTTGCTGATGCGCTCATCGTGATTTTTGGGACATTATCTGTAAGGAACAACTCTTATTTTTGCTCTAGCAAAAGTTTGCAACAGACCCATTCTATATTAAACAAACATACATTTAATGTAGAGGAATACCTGTCATTAGAAACATTAAATGGGTCTCGATCTGGTGACTTAGGAGGTGGGGGTGGTGTGTCCTCTTCAAGTACATTGATAACACCTGCTTTCCCGAGTAGAATCTTGGATTTCTTCACATGAGGGTGAGGAATTTTCACTTTGGCTGGAGTCGTACTACCCAGTCTTTGCTTAGCAGGATCTATATCGTCTGGCACACCTGTTGAACAGTGTACAATTTAGACATGGATTTATTACATAAACATCTAAGCTCAGCCCACTCAAATATGTTCAAATTATGGGGAAAGGATTTATTGCAAGTGTGAACGTAGGATGCCCAACTATTCAATTTTTTAAACTTCAAACATTGAGGACAACTAAAAGAAACACTGATGTGTAAGTGAGAAATCAAGTTACCTACTGACTGATGAAAGATTATAAGTAACATATGAACCATAAAAAGGGGGAAAATGTTGAACAATTTGCGTAAAAATGATAGTTTAAACAGGTGAGATATCCTCTTCATCAGAGAAAGTGGGCAAATTTTAAGTCTCAAACTTTAATACTGAAGACTAGAGGTTTAGAGTCATCCCTTTCCTTTCTATAGATTCAATCTTGTTACACATGGGTCTATCGCTGGACAATACGGATCAAAAAGCTAAACGACCTCTCAAAAAAGGAATTGATTTAAGGTCAATTTTGAGGACAGCATTTTAAGTGTGGTTAAAAAATTCGTTTTACGTTTTTGTAATCATTGAAACTTTAGTGTGTGCAAGACCGGATGCCTTCAGAAAGAAATTTAGAAAATTCGTACCTAGGATAATATTCTCATCGTTGGGGTCAAGAGTGAGGATTTTTGGCTTAGGGATGTTTGTCATTGCTTCAGCATCCCAAATTATTTCGTCTTCCCACAAGCCATACACAAGCTCTTCGTTCTCTACAGGGAAAATTGAGTACCAAGTATCATCGGTGGTATCGTCCATTCGTTGTGACTGTTGTTGTTTCATTAGCCTGCCGACATGAAAATATCAAATTGATACAGAGATGCAACTTCAGATTTCTTGCCGTGAAAGGTGGGAGGTTAGTGGCTTGGTCTATTGTTTAAGGGTTAATTGGCTTCAGCAAGTCCATGACGTCTGAATGAGCCAACCAACCTGAATTTCAAACCTCAACCCAGGTCCCAAGCCACCACTGACTCTGCCCCTCACATGTAACTTTTCGTGGCTTGGACCATAGTCCAATCTTACAGTTCATCTCAAACCTTTACGTAGGATTTAAATATGCACTTTCTTCTAACACTTCACTATGTCTTTAAGCACACTTATGAATAAAAAAATTTGGTCTTATAAACAGATTTAAAATAAAGTCTTGAATCAAATGATTCATCATGCTGGGTCCAACAGACGTTAAATCACCATAATTATCATTAGCTCACTTAATTAAAGGGGCAGATACACCTGCGAGCTAGACGTGCGTCTTGAGCGGCGAGTAGGCCTTCGGCCATGTTCGGCAATCTTCGTAGCCAATCAGGTCACAGCTCGCCACTCATAATTTGCTCACAGTAGGATCAGATCCTACTTTTCGGGTAAAGACGCGCGTGTAGCGCGCAGGTGTATCTGGCTCTTTAAAGCTCTGTAAAGGAGTTCTTATTACAACAGAATATGAACCTTCTCACACGGTTGCCACAGAATTTAGACAATGAAATTCCCTGACAATTAAACATATGCTAGATGACTAAAAAACCATGATTTGAAATAGTTTTCACACGATATTTGTTGTTCAACATGTAACTTCACAATTTTCCTCCGACACATCATTTTCCTGACATTTCCCAGTTTTCCCTGACTTTGACTGTAGCAACCCTGAAAGGTATCATACCTGCCAACCTCAAAAAAAAATTAACATTTGTCTTAATTGGTGCTCATTTGCTCTAAATATTAAGTACTTGTAATACCAGACCTATTCCTGCTACGTTAGCCTCTTCATTCAGTGAAAATGTTGAAAAATGAAAAAAGGAGCAAGAAAATAAGAGCTTAAAAAAAAAAAACAATTTGTTAATTGATCTAAATTAGTGAAGTTGAATTCTTTTAGTCACTAAGAAGCATTTTCCTCTAATTAGGATTAACTTTGTTTTTTTCCACGAACATTACTGTTCTTTTTTATTCAATTTTTTTTGGTGCTACTCCAAATAGGGCCAAGGATAGGAACGTCACTAAGTACCCTTTAAATTTATAACTTACATCTGTGATTTCATATTGAACTTGCTGTTAGGAGGCATTTGATTCAAGCCAGGCCGCACTCCACCTACTGAGGCTAGAGGAGGAATACCCTTCCCAGGCTGACTGAATGCTTGCGCTGTCCTATTCCCACTACTTGGAACCCAGCCAGCTGCATTTGTTTTGCAATTTAACTTTTGCATCACCTGGACAAGGAAAAACTTGTTATGTCGGTAGACAGTGCTTTTTCAGAAAAATAAACTTCCAAACGCAGTGATAAAACACTGCGTTAAATTTACAATAAAAGGGGAGCCGAAAAAAATTGTTTTTCCTAAATATTGGTCAAACAAATGAGTGATAAGCATACTTCAAACGAAAAGTCCAAGACAATTCTACTTGACACCTTTAGACCATACCCCAGGGAAATTTTAGAGGGTGCAATGCATGACCTCTCTTCAGAAACAAAGCGGAGGTTTATGTTTCTATGAAATTCATAGAAGAAAAAGTTGCTGAATTAACATCCCGGTATGTTAAAAATCTGCTTGAAAATTCTGAAATGTAGATATGAATGTTTTGGTTGTTAATTTAACGTTGTTAGGATGTTACTTAAATAGCCAGAGTATTCATGTCAACATTCCAGAGTTGTAGTGCAGAATTTGAACATTCCGGAATTTGGCAATTTGGCAACTTTTTTTCCCATGTTGTTTTGCCTTGGTTTACCTGAGTTTTCTTAACTTATGCATCATAATTCAGTACTTAGATTTATTAATGTTAGGACTCAATTCAGCAGTAGGGATTTAAACACAGTTGGTAAAAATATTTTTCATCGGATTTCTAATATCCAGGAGATATTTGAAAACGCTGATTTCATTTTTTTATGGTATAGTAAAAAGCTGAAGCTGCTAAGCTCACAATTCCAGAATGGAACTTGAATAAGCACATCATGCTTGGGATGAAATCACATAATCTGACCTGATGTTTAATATCATCTCCATTCCACACTACATCATCCTCCCAGTGGAGTTGAGAAACCATCAAAAACACATCATCAGGGTAGGGTTCGATTTGTTTGGAACTTGCATCCTCTTCGGTCTAAAATTAAAGCAGAAAAATGTGCAGAACATTAGAGATATTCATACAATAAAAGGTCAATAAGTATGCTCATTTCTATTTCCTTTGTTAAAATCATCCAGCTCTCTCGGTTGATGGAGCTCTAATTTGACGTTGGTCCACCATCCACCATACATAATTGTTCATTTTTACAAAACTTTTGCACCCTAAATTAAAAAAACACCTTAGAAAAATGGAACTTTCATACTTTTTTTCAAAAGTCTAATGTGAAAGAAAATGAAAGTTTGATCAATATCAGTTCTCTGCATATTTTGCAAAATGGCAGATTTCACAAGAGGTGTTCTAAAAGTATTTCAAAACATGCTTTTTCCTGGGAGTTGGATGGATACAGATACCAAAATATGGTTTGTGTGAAGCCTAAGTCCCAGTAATTTTTTTCTTTAAGTTAAAAATTGACTGGTAGAGAGTTTTGAAAATGATATGTTCTCTCATTCTCTGACTATGCTCTCAAGTTCTTCTCTATCGGTTCATGAAATTTTCAGAAAATGGCTCGGCGCTTTAAACATACATAACAGCCACTTTTACAACCCAACTTTGCATTCTGTGACACTCAATAGTCATTGCCCCCAATCCTCCTACAGATCAGGCATTTGACATCTCCTGATATCCTCCTCCACTCCTTGTCGCCTCCTCCCGGAGGAAACCCAATCAAAAACGATGGTTTGCCATCCTCCGCACATTACCAAACCAGACCAACTGCTTGGACCTGATACTATGCACAATATCATTCTTCATCCCCATCATCTTAGGCACCTTTTTCGGATGAGCTTCCTTCTTGAGAGGGAAACTATGTGCTTTATACCCATGGAAAACTAGATCATCAGTTTTTTGCATATCTTGGAGTTTGAAAGTACTCTAAGGTACCTCCCAGAGATTAGAGAACTCATTGCTAAAAGGACTATCTAACATGAATGTTGAATGAAAATAAATTCAATGATAATACCTTTGGTTTCAACTTGAAGCCATAGTTAAATCCTTCGCCTGTCTCTGGAACTTCCAACATGTCATACCAAACCTGAGCTGGTCCAAACCGCCAGTCAGCTGCTCTAGGGCCAAGATCTGAATTCTCGCCATTGTCAGGGGTTTCCTTGCTAACTTTGTCTTCAAGAGGCTTCAAAAATTTATCCTAACATGAAAAGACAAGAATTCGTAGTTGCATAAAAAGGTGGGCAGATAGCTTATAGCTAGCAAAAACAGACCCAATATTGGTATAGTATTGCAACTAGGTGAAAACAATCTTGAGGACCTTCACAATTATTAACAGCACACAAAATTATTGGACGATTTGGGCCTCTTCATCGACAACATTCTGTTATTCGCTGTTGTCCAAACGCTGAAAAGGACAAAAAATTCCACAAAATGAACAGGTATGGACCATTTAGAGGATGAGCTTTGACTTTATTGTCTAATGTTGACAGTGCAAAAATTAGGTTTCAACAGAGAAACCTAACTTTTGCCGAACTGTGGTTAGCTGGATCTGAAAAGTCATCAACCTCTGGTTGCACTACTTACAATCATAAAAAGTATTCCATCCACCATTAATGCACATGCCCAAATCCGAATTTTTTCCACTCCAAGGCAACTAGAATTTTGCTGCCTCCATGATGGTTACAACAGGAAATACTACACAGAAAGGGAGATTCGGATGTGGGGACGGGCGGGGCCTCTCCCAGAAAATTTCAAAAAAATGAAGTCTCATTGGAGCAAGTTCTTATGTCAAAATCCTGTTTAATTTATAGTGTCTAGGACCTGGAAAAACTAGGAAATACCAGGGTCCATCACAGAATTAAAAATATCGCAGCAAGTTAAAATATCTATGCTAAAAACCTGGAATTTATTTTCTCTCCGCTTGGAGATCAAAATGAGTATATTTTAAATAATCATACAAAATGTAGTTTCTCTGAACTTCCGGGAAATGATCTTGCTTTCATTTTTCGAGAGAGTCTACGACAGGATTTCCCCCCCCGGGAGTGAAAACTTTAAGAACTCTACGCAATATGGTTTACTTAACCGTAACAAAAAAAAAATGAAAAAATCTAGGAGCAATTTTTTTTCTTTTTTTATCTCCCTCCTCTTACCATCCTCGATTTGCCACCCATAGATAACTGTCTGCATTACCTATCAAGTAAGCCCTGGCATGTAAATGTGATGGAATTCAGTACTTACTTCGTCATCTGACTCAATTTGATCAACGGAGGGTGGGGGAGCGTAATTGAAACTCCATCCTCTGCTATGAGTATCCTGATCAGAGTCAGAGTCAGAAAAGTGTTGACTGTCTTCTTTGAGTGATTTCTTCTTTTTGCGGCGTTTCTTGACTCCACGCCAAATTTGAGGTAAACTGCTGGGCTTACCAGGTCCGAACAACCGAGAAAACCTCAGAACCTGAAATGAGGTAAATTGACTTATTTTATAACTACAATGAGGATGATAAACTCAAAATTCAGGTAGTGAGGCTGCTGATATTCTATCTAGTGTGTTGAAGCTTGGTACAACCCGCAAGAATAATAAAATATTGAACATTCCATATGGTAATCTGGAAATTTACTTTAAAGAAACGAAAATTTTAAGGTGTGTATCAACTTAAACCTAAGACCATTTACTCACTGGGCAGGTCCTAAATCCACTTGGTCATTTATAAGCTATTAACACTTTGACTGCCACACCAGTCATATCGAACAGCCTTGAAGGGTTTCGCCGGGGCCATGCTGGACATTTTGACCAGGATGCAGTCGCTCGCATTGCTAGGCCCCTGGGGGGCTTGCTGCCGATCAGAGCTGTGCATATGCTCGTGGCTCACAAGCACAACCAGTCTAGCCCTAGCGAGAGAATACACTTCTAATTTGTTTGCTTTTCTGTTTTAAAGATACTTTAAAAAAGGCTGTGACGCCGGGGGTAAAAAGTACCTACCTAAAATGCTATAGTGTTTCAACACACCTCTTTTACACTAAATAAGTAAAATGAAAAAGTGCCAAAATCAGCAATATCTCAGATGTTAGGGTCTTGAAACACTTGTCCTCTTCCAAAAATAGCGCACCTGATCAAGAAACCGCTGAACTACTGAATATGAAATGGGGTTCAGCCATAATATAGCCTATAATTCCCAAGAATCATCCATGCCTCTCCCACGAATATACTCTGTGACTAAAACCTAGAGAAACTCTCCGCTTGGTTCATACTGTGAGGAAAAACATAAAAAAACTAGCACTATAGACAATGCTGACAGCTTACTTTATCAATCATTCTAAGTGGATCTTACCTTGCCAAATCGAAAATCTGAGAATATCTCTCGAACGTCGATATCAGCATATTTTGATGGCAGCATTGCAGACAGGGGTGTTTCCAATTTTTTGTCCTTCTCATTTTGAAGGTCCTCATCAATTTTTTCACATTTAAGCTCCGCTGAAGACCTTGGTAGAGAGCTCAATTTTAGCGAGTCCGAGTCATAGTCGGTGTCATCAACATCGTGCGAGACATGGTTCCGAATACTTTCAAATTCTTCTTCCACAGCTTCTGCAATATCTGAAAAGTCGATTGCAGAAGGGGACTTGATTGAATACCCATCCAATGACCCTGCATCTTCTTTTTTAATACCATTCAGGCCGTTTGGCTTCTCCTCCAAGAAATCTCGTTCAATGTTGAGATCATCATTGGAGATTACTTCGTTGATGAAAGAACTAAAGCCCAACCTGGGCAGACATGTTAGCTGTTTTTGAGACTCACTGTCTAGAAGCTCCTTGTCTTCTAATTCTCCGTTGGCGTCTACATTCCCAAATAGAAATGTTGTGAAGTTGAACTTGGAGTCACGGTTGCTCGCTTCGTCGTCGCTGTCGCCCATTCTTTACTATTAGGAGTTTCGAACATGCGCACAAAGAAACTGAAACAGTCCTCAATAAGTAGATTACCAACTATTGTGTGAATAAGTTGTGCTTGACGATTCAATTAAAAGAAATGATAATAAATAATAATGTATTACCAATCAAATTGATAAAGGTACAGAACAAACAAAACAAATCGTAGATCGCGCACGCGCAAATGTTTTGTGTTTAATGGTCAATGGTGAGTTTCGCCCGTTTCGCCGCTCATCGACCATCTAGACTGTCTAGACAAGCTATTTTTCCAATTATTCCTGTATTCGAACAAAAGGAATCTTAACCGCAAATTCTGAACCAGACGCTTTGATTGGTCCAGAGCGATTCATTCCAATTATTCCGAGTTGAACCAAAACAAGCGGGAATTTCAAATAATTTCGGATATCCTGTCCACCAAATCGTTTCCGGTACAGTGTTGTCAGTTTTACGAGCATTTGATAAGTAAAACTGACAACACTGTTTACCGGAAACGGAAACTATTTGGTAAACAGGATATCCGATATTATTTGAAATTCCCGCTTATTTTGGTTCAACTCGGAATAAATGGAATGAACCGCTCTGGACCAATCAAAGCGTCTGGTTCAGAATTTGCGGTTAAGATTCCTTCTGTTCGAAAAGAGGAATAATTGGGAAAATGAAGCAATTTGAACCAATTTGCGCAATCTCTTTCATTGTTGCTTTCATTTTGCCCAGCCGGACAACATAGAGTACAATAGAGTCGCAAAGTACTGGAGCGGCGATGAAGCCAATCCATAAACAGGCGTTTCCGAGCCGCGTGTGCTCCGAAAATAGTGAACCATTTGCGAACCCAACGGCATTTTGTAACACGGCGGCTTATGGAGAAATCAAGAACTGCTTGTGTTTTTTAGGTATTTTATAATTCAATCAGCATTAATTTTTGCAAATTTTGCTATTTAAAGGTAGTCAAAGCCATAATGAATCCATTGATGTATATTACTCCTGGATAATATTCATATTGGGATTTAATTTCTGACTTATACCAAGTGTGAACCAACCGGCATTTCTTATCACGGCGGCTTACGGGAAAAGCAACGACTGTCCGTGTTTTTTCGACATTTTTTAATTTCATCGATATTAATTTGTGCAAATTTTGCTATAATTAGATAGTCAAAGTCACAATGAATCCATTGATGTATATTACTCCTGGATAAAATTCATATAGGAATTTAATTTCTGACTTATACCAAGTGTGAACCAACCGGCATTTTTTACACGGTGGCTTATGGAGAAATCAACGACTGCTTGTGTTTTTTCGACTTTTTTTAATTCCATCGGTATTAATTTGTGCAAATTTTGCTTGAAATAGATATTCAAAGCCATAATGAATCCATTAATGTATGTTACTCCGAGATAATATTCATATATGGACTCAATTTCAGACTTATTACCGGCCTACTTATTTTAGCTGGTTCAGTGTGTGTCTAGCCGACGAACGGAGCCGAGTCGGGACTGTCGGGAGTGGGGAGCGCTGAGCGCGAGTCTCTGCGTATGCGTCATCGCTAGTCGCCGCACACTAGTCTCCGGAGAACTGGACAAAACAGCCTCGAAAAGTGACTTCATCGGCGATCCAGTACTTTGCGACTCTATTGTACTCTATGCCGGACAACAACAAACAAGATTGAGGTTATGCGAAATGCGATTAAAAATCTTTCGTGACCAGAATTATCAGAAAATTACTGTAGTCGTCTCCGTAGTGTAATTATTCATAGTTTACTGGACCAAATACGCTAATTAATACGAAAACTGTGAGTCATTCGTGATGTGAAACATTAATCTGATAATTCTCATTGTTCAGTCAATTTTCAATTACTAGTTGGAAGTTTCCGAAGCACTGAACCGCGTATCGGGCATGGTTGCTCAGTGAATCAATAAGGCTTTTGTATTTTTTCCATTTTCTGCGGAGTTACTCTTTGGATCACTACAATGGCAACCACTCATCGTTATAAAACCACACCAAATTTAACTAAGTTAGTATCTCAACTTCGGATAAGGATCCAACCAGGGCACAGGCTAATTAGAAACAGGGATGGCCCACCTGGAAGAATTAAGAAGCTGAGTCAGATTGTTACTGGCTTATTGAAGTATGAAAGGCTAGAGCTGAACTATACTAAAGCAGATGAAGCCAGAGGATATGTCGAACGGGTAAGAATTCTCTACAGACCTAAAATGTGCATGTTGTGCTGTAGAAAACAGTAAGTAATGTCCATGCGCAGTTTGAAAAATCTCATTCGGAAAATGGAAAATTGAAATCACATCGTCCTAGGCATTCCAAGCAGAGATGATTTGAAAATCTTCCAATCGCTACTATAACACTCATTATCGGATCCCATTTTGATGGTGTAAGTCTGCAATCACATATCTTGTTTGTGGTGTCTGAAAATCTCCGCCTCTATATTATTTTCTAAAGGAGAACAAATTGACATCATTCTTCGAAGTTTTTGCAGAGTTTGCTTTGCACAAAAAAGAAAAATCACAAGAAAGAATTGCAATTGAGTAGTTTTCCGCTTTTAAAATAAAGTATGACAGGAAGTCTGCGACGTCGCAAACAGAGTTATGTGATTGTCGATGTACACGGTTGATTTGTTCTTCAGATAATGGAGTTGTCAATCTCACAGCTTAAAGAGCATTATGGTCTCTAAGTTGTGCTTGCTGAAAGTTCAGGCACTATTAGGCATCATTATATCCCCCCCCCCATTTTTCTCTTTTAATCAGTTAAGTCTCTCCGAATCCAAAACTATTTAGAATGTCTGAATTGCACTTAGGTAAGTATTCCTTTATCTCATCTAGTTTTAGGTGACTTTCCCTAGCCATCATGACGGATTTTGCTTTTAAGCAGGGCCGGATTTACCTATAGGGCACTGGGGCACTTGCCCATAGCGGCAAATTTTAAGGGGCGGCAAATTTTGGCACTGGATTAATTGAAAGTTAAAGCGAGAAAAAAGGAGAAAATGGAGACGGAGCGAAGTGAAAAGATGAGCGGCAAAATGTATGAAAGAAGGGAGTTGACGCTTGACCGGAGCGGCAAAGCTGCCGCCCCTTAGGTCTGGTCTTGAGCGCTAGGATGATCGTTCGTTGGAGTGATACCAAACAACACGCCATTTTTAAACATCAAGGCAGACTTGATAATCAATTTAGACGTTGATGCTCTGGTTGACAGCTTTGCTAAACTGAAAACCCGGAGAAAAACCTTTTAACCTAATCTTCCGAAAATACATTGCAACTAATACATTGAGCTACACTAGCTTCAACTTTGTCTCCACATTTTATTTTTGTCTCATCCATCCATTCCATTTTATATATTCGCGGCGCATTTTGAAGCAGCTACGCGCACGCGCCCAGGCGGCGCACGAGGGGGGGGGCAAGATGAGATGGCGTGGCAAGTTGGGAGTGCGGAGAGGGGGAGGGGGAGGAGGGGATACTGTTGACAATATATTGGCGAAATATTGCAGACCCAGGGGCGGCAAAATGTAGCTTGCCCAGGGGCGGCAAAAAGCTAAATCCGGCCCTGCTTTTAAGTTAAAAGTAGGACAATAGCATGAGCCAAAAGAATCATTCTTACCAGAAAAAGCATTGCTTTCTGCACTGAGATCAATTACTGTATTGAATGAAAACATTTTTGTCCCAGCCATATCAGCTCTCCTTTCTCCGAAATTTAGCAAACAATTTTGGTAAGAGTACTTGTTTAGGCTTACACATAGTCTTTTGTCGTATTTTTGTGTAGAACATTTAAATCTATCTAGATATTTTACTCAATCAGTGTGATACATCTCATGCCAGTCTGACTTTGCCGAGAACCTGGGATGAATCATTTTAATCTAACTAGGGGAACGTACGATCCAGCTGCCTTTGATTGGGCTAAAAAAATTTTTGCAGATACCCTGGACCAATTCATCAACCCAATTTCTTCCAATTTCCCGAATGCGCAATAGGTAGGGTGTGAAATATTCCCAAAAGTTCCGTTTTCGGCAGCTGATTTTGTTGTGCGGCGCATGGCTCCACTTGAGCAGTTTCTTATACCGCTTTATCGCACTTCATCTCATCGGTACCCAGAGCCCTACTGCTCAGGTACTGGCTCTGTAAGCCTGAGATTCAGGGTTCGCGATCCAGATCGGACACTTCCTTTTTATATCCTACATGATAACATAACATTTGATTTTTAATTCTAATCTTACTTTTTACTTTCTGCATGATCACTTAATATTTTCTTTTTAATTTTTCATCGGCATTCACAAATAAAGCAGTTCTGATCCATCTTTCCTCCCCCTCCCTCCCTTTATGTACAGTTTTCCCGCTATGTTCACTCCAATTTACCAGCAATTAATTACAAGACACTTCACTTCATTGACATTAATCAATAGATGAAAATGCGAAACAAAACCTTGCATATTAGTACATTTTCTGTAGATGTTTTTCCAGATAAACATTCATCATTTAGAAATAAATCCAAGACCGATTAGTAGAATTACCTGTTTATATTTTTCTTTTTTTTAAATGGGTGGAAAACTCATAACGTAGGACACCTTTGATTGAGAAAATTTTTGAAGAAATTTGTTAATATGATTAGACTAGTTTCAGCTTTTGTTTTGAATGTGATAATTTTATGGTTGCAGTTAATCTCTGAGGCTATCAGGCATGGTGACTGTCACACTCCAACAATGGAAATGGCCGACCGCTGGATTACAGAGAAGCAAGTTATCCACAAGTTGTTCAAAGTATTGGCTCCCCGCTACCAGAACAGTCCACTTTCCTACACAAAACTGTACCGGGCTCCTAAACTTTTCACACAAGACCCGTATCCAAAATCTATTCTTGAACTAAGAGGTAAAAGATTTCTATCTATCTTCTTTCCTCCCTTTCCCGGCGCAAATGCCGAAACAAGAACAGAAAAACTGCCGCTAAAAGTTATCACTTAAAGTGTAACCAAAAAATAAGCTAAAAAACTCTGAAGATGCTGAAAATAAAGATAAGAAAACTTAAGCTATAAACAATAATAAACAATAAAATCACAAATGGAACCATATGCATACGTAGTGTGAGCTGTACTGGACCTTTTAAGAATGGTAGATGATTTGACCTATTCGCTCCGTTTGGGCTCAGGATTTTTTTACTCTACTGCCCTGAAAGTTTATGACAAGGAAGTAAATGTTCAGTTTGAATAGCCCAGAATGTGCAAAACTGTTTCAAGATTGTTTCTATTTTCATCCTTTTATGCCCTGATTAAGGGACATTTCTTGTCGTCGTTGTGAGTAAAAAATTCCGTCCCAACAATATTGTCCTTAAAATTGGTACCTATCGTCTTGGAAAATACAGTAAAAAACGAGTATACCCAGGCTGAAAATAGAAAAAAATTACTATTAAGGTGTTCAAGACTAGTATAGCATTTATTTTCAACTGAAGCAAAGGCTAAAAAGAGTAAATGAAAGAATGAAAATGAGCTGCAACAGAACAACATTGGAGTGCTAGCTTTGATTCCTACCTTGGTCAGTTGAAGGCTCTCGTTTTTTTTTTTTTTTTTTTTTTTTTTTTTTTTTTTTTTTTTTTTAATTTTAGCCCTTATTCCTTCTGAATGTGGGCATTTAACTGGCCTGTAACTTCCTGAATGTGTTTCTTTCCTTTTTTAAGCTGTGTCAACTCCACTTGTTTATTTCCTTTAGTTGTGTTCTTAACACCATTATTTGCTGAAATTTTGACCAAACAAATTTCACAAAGATTCATTTGAAAGCTAATAAATTTTCTCCGAGGCTGTACAAGCGACAGTTTGCCAGCATTATTTGTACATTCATATGAGAATCAGATGCAATACTTTTGTGACAACTCAAGTCATGGAGCTGCTTTGTCTATTGGGCTCAATTCTTAAGCTCCTCATTATGTCAGCTCTGCATTCAGGGAGCAAGAAAATCGAATTACTTGAATTCTTCAGCTGCAGATTTGCATAGTCTGAATACTTATCCAGAATCTAATTTAGTTGTATTGTGTTGCAGGTAACCCGTATCCACCCCTTGTACCCAATCTAAGCCATAACCGCAATTTAATTCATAATGTTCTTTTGGAGGAAGCGAAGAAGGAATACAGAGCAAGAAAATACGCAGAGATGTCCGAAAAACTTGCCTCAGCAGATTTAGCAGCGTCGGCGACAGAAAGTGAGAAGTCCACATTATCCCAAAATCAGGAGAATTTAAAGGCTGAAACCGCCTCACCACTAGAAAAATCTCCAGGTTTAGTAGAGGAAGCCGTCGATCAAAATGAGGGAAAGTCTCCTGAACCTGAAATTCTTGAAAAACCATTGGGAGAGCCCAAAAGTAGTTGAATGTGATGTTAAGTTGTTATTAGTTTTCATGTTTTGTACATCTTTTTAATTCAGATTCAAATACAAAGTATTGATAAGAGTTCCAAACTTTTTTCACTTTCTACTCACAGTTTCAACCACTAGATACAACAATGGGCCTGTTGCATGCAAGAGATACAGCCGTATAAATAGACTTTTGAGAGGTAAAATGACACGAAAATTACGATGGTCACATTAAGAAAGTCTGAAATACACTCCTTACTGAGCAATTTGCATTGTTAGGAACGCGCTTTTTCAAATTTCCCGCGTCTGGGGGCAGTTTTCTAACGGAAACAAGTAACGGAAACTCGCGGCTATTTCCGGTCAACTAAAACTGACAACATAACCTGAAAATCGGAGATCGTGATATCGTGAAATGAAATGTAGAAGGATTGCGTTGTTGCATTGGATATTTAAAAGTTGATTAATTTAGTTACCGCGTAAAGCGTATATGGACCACTATGAGAGATCACGTTGGGTTTGTAAACAAACTGAAGGAAAAAAGAAGTACAACAACAACGACTTGGCATCTTCCGGAAATCACCGAGCCCGCCGTTTGCTCGTTTCCGGTGATTAGAAAACTGCCCCCAGACGCGGGGAATTTGAAAAAGCGCGTTCCTAACAACGCAAATTGCGCAGTAAGGAGTGTATTTCAGACTTTTTTAATGTGACCATCGTAATTTTCGTGTCATTTAACCTCTAAAAAGTCTATTCGCACGGCTGTATCTCTTGCATGCAACAGGCCCATTCAACCTTGACATCCAATCTTTAGTTGGAAAAGAAATTTATCCCCTCTCGCCCCTTTTGCCCCCAACTTTATGAAAACTGTTTTCAGGGTTGCCACAGTCAGGGAATACCGGAAAATTTCAGGGAATTTTAAGAAGCCAGGGAAAATCAGGAAATGTCAAGGAAAAGTTGGTAATCACCTTCATTTGCTTTCTAGAATAGGTTAGAGGTTTGAACAAGAAATGTTGTCTGAAAACTGTTTTCAGTAATGTCTTCTTAACCAACTGTCATGTCCTCAATTTTCGGGGAATCTCACCGAAATGTGTCAGGAAAATCAGGTAAATGTCAGGGAATTTCATTTTCTAACTTCCGTGGCAACCCTGTGTTTTGGATTTGATGCCGCAATCACATGCTGAATTTAGCAGCTGAATGTGGAAGTCAACAGTCATCGCCCAACAGCTGAAATTTAGCAAATTCGAGTTATTTTCATCCAGATGTGTATCAAATCTACTCGAATAGTTCAGACAAATTTAAAATTGGTCCGATGGTTGCTGAGAATCGTTGCTGAATTTTGCGCGTCACGCGCAAAATTCAGGCATCGGGCCGATGACTTCCACATTCAAGCCACATTCAGCGTGTGATTGCGGTGTGAGAGAGGACATTTCAGGGGGAGAGGAATTATTCTTAAGGGGAAGGTAAATATGGAAAGATTTTCCGAGGAGGGATGGAAATTTGTCCTTGGGGATTTTTCTAATAAAGTATATCTATTAAGGGGTAGGATTTGCTTTTAGAGGGAGGGGAGGGGGGGTATTCTTTGGAGCAGTAAGAAAGAAGAAATGAGCCATGAAAATGAATATGTATAAATTCAATAGTTTTTATCCTTTGATCATCTTTTCCTCTATCATCCAAGTTTGTGAAACAAAAACCTAATTATTTGCTGAATGATAGGTTCGTTAATCATTGAATAAATATAAGTTGATATTTATAAATTTGGGAGTTAAGAAAGAAAATGAAAGGACTAAATTCAAACGGAACAACTTTAATTACAAAAAAAGTACAAAAGAGCCTCACAATTTTACAATACTTATGTCAGCTGTTTGGGAGCTTCGTTTGGAGTTCCTATAGTGCGTGGCATTTCTGGAGGAATATATTCCTCAGCCTCTGCCTTCCTGATTGCTTGCAGCTTTTCTTCACGTTTCCGGATTTCCTTGAGTTTCTCTTCCATCTGAATTTCCATCTTGTCTTTCATCTGGAAGTAGTACAACTCCTCCTCTTTTTCCTCCAGCTCACGAAGTTTGTTGTTGACTTCGGCCAAACGTCGCTCACGATCTCGTTGTTCTAGCAGTTCAAGGTACAGGTGCACACGGTCCTTCTCCCATTGGTCATACAACTGCAAGCAAAAAATTTTGGTTTGAAATATGTGGACAAAATTAACTTTTGTCAGGTTGATGTTAGCAGATGAGTGAATACATTTCTTCTGCATGATGAACATTACACTGCCTCTATATTTTGACTGTTTCTATTGAAAGAATGTAAGCCTTTTAACTTTAGCTTCAAGCTTTAATGTAAACGGATTTTAACTAGAAAATAAAATGCATACGCTTTTTCATAAAAAAAATAATAATAAAAAAATCATAGGTAGGCTAAATTCATATGCTTTTCAAATAATAAATAATGAGTTATACTGCAACTGCAGTTCAGGGGCGGAGAAAAAAAAGGAGGAGAAAATTTACACAACAAAATACATAAAACCTATTTGCAGAGGAAATTCAATTAAAAGTAATGACCAGAGGTGGAATCACAGTAATTTTTCTCCTTATTTTTCATGGCAGAAGAATGTTGTGGGTGAATGAATGTTTCTTTGTTAAAGATACTTGCTTCAAAGTTCAAATGAAAAACAAAAAACACACAAACAAGGAAACATAATAATATAAATCTGAAAAAATAAAAAGATAAGTAGCTTAGGTAAGAAAAACTATCTTTTAAATGTGATGATACTTGAAAATGAATTAATATGTACAAGATCGAAAAAATGTTGAAGAATCAATAAGTAAATGTTTATAAAAAATTTAGAAGGTTTACCAACGTATGATACTGGTAGTTACTCAAATCATGATGAGCAGAAAATTAAAAATACTCAGTTTTTGCTCAATTTCTTTCAAAACGTGAATTGTTACTCTGTGATCGATCTTCTTATTATTTCACTGAATTGACACTTTTTAATCAAAACTTCACGCTTCGGATTATCAACATCTTTGTATGCATTTCCTTCAGTACTTTGGTTAAGTTTGGTGAGAATTTAAAAAGCAAGAAACTGTTGAAGTCTAAAAGGTACTTAGTTTTCATCCTACAAACAGTGTTTCATGTGTACATGTGATCATATATTACCACCACTAAGGGAATCCTATTCCTTTCCTTTAGTTCTCAAGAACAGAATTTCAAAATACTTTAAGGTTGAGATTTTTGATAAGTACAAATATTAATCAAAAAAACCTACATACTTACTTTGCATTGGTTTTGGATATCATTCATTTCATGCTTAGAAACGGCATCTTTCAGTCTCCCTTCAACAAGTGATATTAAAGTCTCAGGAACAGTCTGATTTTCGATTTTTTTTAGAGACTCTAGCAAATCACTTTTCTTCTTCTCAAACTCCTCTTTTTCAGCCTCTGCTATCTCAACATTTAATGCTTCACCGACGAGTGTCAAGACATCACCACAGACTTTTTCTTTCCCAGAGGCCAAGGTGTCAGCAAAACCCTTTGCTTTCTCCAGCTTCTTTCTCATCACTAAGCCATACAGAATCAGTGAATTTCCAACTGGATCCTTCAAACCTTTCCCAATGAAAATAAACGTTTTGCCTATTAAGTCACCAGGCTGTCGCAGGTCAAAGTGATCATCAAAATATGGGTTGATCAGAAAACGGACCTTGACTTTAACATCATCTTCAGGTTCTGGTTCTGGCACAGGGTCATGGACATGCCAGTCAGATGGCTCATTAAGGTACTTTAAACATGAGTAGATTCCCATATATTTTGAAATAGGATGATCATATGTTTCTTGCAAAGCCTGGTTAGTGGCAACTTTGGCTGCTTCAAGGTACAATTTGCGCTTGAGGAACGTGTCCATTAAAAAGTTATTCAGGTAATCATCTGGGAAAATACCATAGCTTAAACGGTCATCTAAAATGTTTATGAGAGACTTGATATGATCCACTTCCAGGTAATACCTGTGAACAAAGGGAAGCAATACATTGAAAAATGATTAAAGTAGTGAACAATTCATAGTTATAGTCATTTTGAACACTACCTAATATACAAATGTAGAAAACTACAAAAGCTACACATCTCACTCTGCAATAATGCACATTTTTTGTCTCCTTATTCTCTTGAGAAAGGATGATCCACCGCTGAGAAGAATTGACCGCAGTGTATCATTTCATCTGCATTAATTTACTTGATTTTAGGTCACAACTGCGATGAGAAGTTGGGTAACTCAATTGTGCTTGTAATAGTAGCATTGTTTAAAATGAATGTTTCTGTCTTCTTTTTTTTAAGTAATCTTCTTTATGATTCAAGTTGTACAGCAGCCATGCGGCATTGGGTTCAAGGTGTTGGAAACTATAGGTCATTGCTCCGCAAGACTTCATGGGCGTTAGGGAGGTCCTTTTTAAAACTCAAGCTTTAGGCCTTTTAGATCAGTCAAAAATGTAATTCTGAACTTTCAAAGCTGTAGCAACACCTGATTTCAAGGCAAATCCTGTGTTTCTTGTGTTTAAGTATGGTTCCACTGTCAACATGGAAAAATTAATAACACTCATAACTTTAGTGTCGCTGGGTAACACTATGCAGCCGTGACCCTATGTTCCTTTCAATCTTGCTCATCACTTTCTGCAAGCACAGAGGCCGGTGGCAGGTAGAGAGGCTCCCCTTACGTCCTCCCTCGAACTTTCTGAAATTCTCCAGGACTTATGGAGGGTGTCACATGGCAACAAATAGTAACTGTTTCTAGAACTCTCTCAACATTTTTTCCCAGTGGAGCACAAGTTAAAAAAACCCTCATTACTTAATCCTCGCCGGAACTTTCTGTAAATTTCTCAGACTTTCGTAACAAGACTTACAATGACTGAGGATGGATTTCCTGAAATTTTCTGGAGTGTCTCAAAGCGACGAGTGGTTGTTGTTTCTGAAACTTTTTTGAAAATAATCAAAGTGGCAATGAGAGGAATGTGGCTCGCAGAGCAAGTGATGGGGCGCGTGCACCAGGTACGGCTAGCACATATAATATGTACACACAATAAATATACTAGCATGTTTTCTACTTTTTATCACACTCTTCATGAAAATTCCATCTAACATTATGTCTGGTGATGCATTAAAAGATTATCGTAGATAGCAACGGAGAAGATTACTTAACTCTCTTCAGAAGTTGCATCTCAGTCAAAAAAAATGGGGGATAAAGAAGAAGGCAGTTACCTGATTACACCATGATGAGTAGAGGGAAGAGTATCAATAGTCTCAGGACTAAGTCTGAACTTGTGAAGTATATCCTGTACTTCATCCATCGAGTCTTCGCTCCGGACCAAGTTCACTAACATATCTACTTCTACAGGTGGTGCTTTGGCAAAGTGAGAAAACTGCAAATCTAATTCATAATGAAGGTTAGCTACTTTTATAGACTTAAATTCTGGAGATGTCATGCGTTTGTCCCAGATTTCTTGGCAGCTGTACGAGTCAGATAGAAATGATCGTCTCCATAGCTGATGCAAATTACTCCTGCAGGAGTGGAGAAGAAAGCGAGGATTTTTCCACATTCTTTACAGTGTTTTACTACCAGTGTTCCAGTGAACAGAGTTACCGAACGATCAAAATTAGTTCATGAGAAAAGCTGAGACGAAACATGGTGAGGATCACACGACACCCTTAGCCTCAATGCGGTAAAACTGCAAATCAAAATGTTGAGGTTTGAAAAACGAGTGATCATACAAGCGAACACAATCTACAGAAAAGGGAGCTTAAATAAAACATTAATTATGACCAATTTCCTCTGACTTGTTTAGAATCTGAAAAATAACGTGGGAGTGCACCGATACCGCAAGTGCACAATACTCTAGAGGTTATATTTTTGTTTTCTTTTTTCTTTTTGCTTATTGCCAGATTTCAGAACCGATAATTTCCTAAATCATGAGCTCTTTTCTCTCTTAAATTTCTGCCAAGCAATAAGCAATGTCTTCTGTAATGCCTTAGTCTGTCTAAATACTTTCAACATGTACATAAAATTTGAAATGAAATTTAAGACTCATGCTGAAGATTTACAACATAACAACCTGACAACAGCGCAAAGTAGATGAGAGTGATCGAGGGTTATCACTACATTTTCAGACTGAACTTTTTTTACATGTCAGAAAGGACTTACAACTTTCAATTTACAAACCAATTACAGCAGTCGCCGTGTTGGGATACTGTGCTATTCATTTGTGGCTGTAGGCTGATTAATTCTTTTAAATACGTTTGAAGTGTAAAGTTGTTTCGTGTTTAAACTTGTTTTTCCTTATCTACTTAATTCTTTACTTACTCAATCTGTAACTGAAGCCTCTATCAGTCTCTGTCTCTTATCTTAAGCTTGTGTTTATACTTTCGTCAAGTACATCGTTCTGTGCATTCTGTTTATCTACATACCTATCATAGTCTTGTCATTTTCATGAGTGATCTGTCAGGTTTTAGTCATGGGGCTGTATAACTTCTTGATCATCGGTTTCCTCTATGCACCCTCGGAAATAACCATCAGTGCCATGACGAAGTTTTTATTTTCTGAATGTCAAGATTTGTCCAAGCCATTTCCTCAATAGACTTTAAGCCATTTTCACCATCATAGTCAGTGTTTCTCTTAATCTGCCACTGTGGCAATCATGAAAATCCTGCGACAAATTGGATGGGGTCGCGCACTTTGTCTGCTGCTGCTAGTATGGCTTGTGTTCCTTCTATTTACCATTGGCTACCTGCGTCATGAACCAGACACACAAGTTGCTCAACGTTTATCAGAGGCATTGAAAGAACTAGACTCTCTTCACAAGAAACATACAGAGCTGAACAATTTGGTGTTGGAATACTACATTGGGTATGTGCCTTCATAACATTCCTGTACATCCGAGGATGTTTTAGTGTTGTACTGCATAGATATTTTAAGAGTGATACTTCAATGTATTGAAAAGGACGCAGCGCAGTCATCAAAATAAGTGTGTTGTTTTGTACCTATCCTAGAAAAATTAGCCATTCCACTTTGATTTATAGAGCTAATTTAGAAATCTTTCAATTTCAAATTTTTTCCAAACAGCTCTTTATAATTCAAGATTTCACAAACCCATAAACCCTTCAATTAAATTAATATCCTCAGTCTCTTCATTTCCAACTTAACAGACAGACACTAATAGAAAATCACTTACCCTGTCACTTATCCTGTCGTGGGACACTCATCAAAAAAAAAAAAGATGAAGAACCAAGCAGATACGTTCAGAATTGCACACATTCCATCAATCTCATATATCTCTGAGGCTGAACTGAGAGCAGTCATGTTTGTTCGTTTTTCCTTTAATTTGAAATAAAAATAACATGCTCCAAACTTGGTTCCTCTGTGAAAAACCCTGTCTGTTTTAAAATTGAAACCAATGCATTATAGGTAATAAAATGAGATCATCCACCTATGATTGGCGGAGAAAAAAGGACTTCACAGAAGCGATTCTTTCTTTCCAATGAGGAAAAAAGGACTTCACAGAAGCGATTCTTTCTTTCCAATGAGGAAAAAATGGCTAAATTTTAATTTGTAAGATAGTTGCCAAAAATATTCACCTTTCCCCTCCTCCGTCAATCTGTAAAATGCCAAAAAGTAGTCTCCTCTATTAGGTACCTTGATATGACATCATTTCCCTCTGCTGTTTATTGATGAATTATTCATCTATATATGTACAAATTGATGCTCAAGAAGGTACAATGTCTTATTTACTTTATCATTGTTCAATACACACTTCTTCTACAAAACCTAATTTCCTGTGTTACATCTCTCTTAATCTAATTTAATGAATTCATATTACCTATAAGATTCATTGGCTTCATGATGCAGCAATCACTTTTTGCAAAGTTCACTGGTCTGTGCACATTAATGGCACATGCCATCTTGGTAGAGCTCGCGCATCGTATGTTGAGACAAACGTCAATCTCCGATTAGCTCTGAATTTGCACCACTCAACAGGGTAATACATGGAGTCGGGTGGCACCACTGGTGAATGGTGGCATAAGCAATACTTTGACGTTTGTCTCAACATACAATGCGCGAGCTCTATATTTTTGCATGCATAGCTTGTTGGAATAACAAGTTTCCTGATGATTTTTGTGTTTATTTTCCATCCTCATGGGTTAAAAATGAAAGCATGGCTTTTTCCAAGAAAGGCAATTCAGCTTTTATTTTTGTAAGTACAGACCTAATTTTAATTTTTTATCTTTACTGTATCCTAAGAAGGAGTACATTTGTTCATTGTTAAATAAACTTTTATCATCGCTATTGTCATTAATTTAACACTGATGATTCATTTATTTTTTTCTACTTTTCTAGTGATGCTCAATTGAAACCAGAAGATAAAGCATTACTGCACAAAAATCTGGAGAAGGTGATAGGCACAAACATTCAAGTGGGATACCCACCTGTTCAAAGTAAGTTTTCCTCAGATTTAATTACTATTTCTATTTTCACCTATTATTTTCATTATTATTTATTCATTGATTATTTCATTTACCTACCTATGCAGCTGTTACAGAATTAAATGAAGAAAGTCCATAGAAGTAAATATTAGTTATCATCATTTTGACATTTTTATACAGATAATTCATAAATTCTCATCAAGATTTGAGATGCTAAAGAGGTTGGAGAGGTGAAATTTTTATATAGATAATTCATATATTTTCATTAAGAGATGAGATGCTCAAGAGGTTTCAAATGCAGAGCTGGTCTAGATTTGTCTCTTAATCTCCTCATTTATAAAAGACAGATGTGAGAGTTAAATAAATACATAACTTTTTGAGTGTCTCTACATGATATTCAAGTCTTACCACTTTACTTGGCAAGCCTCTTGGTCCAAAAAGTGTCATTGATTGGGCTAAATTTGATTGTAATGAGTGTGTTGATTCGGGTGACAGACAGTCTGATTGTTGGTTCAGTCACAGTCAAGTGGTGGCAGGAAATGATCGTTGGGCAGCAGTCATTATCATAGTTGGAGCCAAATCTTGCATATGTAGCCTTTTATGTTTTGTAGGTAAAACTGATGATTTCTTGAAGAGCTGGGCAACACTGGACCATGATTTTGGCCACTGTTAGCTACAGCTGTAATGCTATGCTATGATCATTGGTATGAATTTTCATCATTCTCTGAGTGTATAAGGTGATGTCACTTGTGAAAACAAGGGGAAAATATGATCGACCTTTTTGTCCTCCAACTTTATCCCCAAATCCCTTATTCTGCCCCCCCCCCCCCCCCCAATGTATTTGACCTTAATCGGTAGATTCCAAAGTTTTACAAATTGTAAATTAATTCCTTCTCTCTTAAATCTTTAGTTTGTGTGTGTGAGGGTGTTGGTACACAGAAAAATTGCCGTACGTATTTTTTGTATTTCTATCGACGCATTTTTGAAGGATTTTCCTCCAACTATTTTTGAAGAGGTTTGGCAACCTTCCTCTGTCCAAAATTTAGTTCATGAGCTGCATCATGTATCTCTGTTCAACCAACTGCGGTAAAGTTCAACCAAAGCTATGTGGAACCTCAAAAAGGCAACCTTAAAAATCCAAAGAATCAAAGTCTTTTTGCCTTTCCTTAGCGATGTGCAACTGCATAATAACAACAATCCAACCTGGTTCTGTAACGGCACTTTAATGTGGATATCTCCATGGAAATGAGGATAAAATTTGCTTCTTACCTTTCTGAAATACAGAAGCAACTTCCCATCTATTTCTTTCAAAAGAATTTTGTTTCCTTTTATGATGGAAGTTTTTCTCCTGTGTTGTAGATGCTGTTGGTCAACCGAGTACTGAATACGAGGCATTGAAAAGAAAGTTACACTCAGGCATTCTAGAATTTTGGTGGTTTGTGAGCAGTGAAGTAAAGAAAATCCGGAAAGAAGCTGAGAATTTCTCTCCTTTACTTGCCAGTAAATTCAACAATATTCTGGACTTGGGGATTGAACATAAACGGTAATAAATTTCTAATGGTCCATCTGTATTTATCATGAAAGGACTCATTTCATCAATCCATACTTTCTTACAAGCTCATTTAAAGCATCAAAAAGTGGAAGGAAGGGAAAGGGGAAATGATGAACTAAGTAGCCTTTTTTCTTGAATGATGAAAATGTTAAGGTTTTTTCCCTGAGCGGAAATAATGTTTTCTTGTGTACTCTGAATTTTGCTCATTCAAAGTGTGTTAACCATTTGCTTTAGTCACTGGACTGCCATTGTGAGGGCATGTTTGTAGTTTTTTTGTAACCTCTTTAAGAATATTGTGGCTTGGGCTCATAATCTACTAATTGTAATTTGTCTGTGGATTTAGATTCCAGGGCTGAACAGGAATTTTTGTGTGACTTACCTCTCAACCTTAGGGTCAAAAGTCTCCTGTTACTAGGTCCCAGGGTACAGGAGAAGGTTTTAAGCTTGCAGTTCCCATCTCCTTTCTGCTTAGGTTTTTTCAAAAAAAATTTGAAAGTATGTCCAAACTTTAATTGTAAGAACAGGTCCTCAAGAAGTGGAAAACATTTTTTTCAAAGGGGGAGGGGTTTATTTTAATAATTGTTTTTCTTTCTTTGAGAAATCCAGAACCTGGCAAAGAGCAGCAGTGTTCAAGAAAGCTCCTTGGTACCCTGATTAAGGTGCACCAGTGGAACTTTGGACCCTCACATCCGGAATCTTCAGGGTGGATTTTTCTCAGAACCTCATATTTCATATTACTTCACGTCAATGTAACAACCTGTCGTGTCTTAGAGGGAGCAATTCTATTTTCTTTTGAAAAGGATTAGGCAGCTTCTAGAATTTCATACAGATTTAAAGTAAATTTTGAACCATGCTTTTGGTGGAAAATCTTCAAAATTTTGATGAGAACTGATGAAAAGTCTAATTTCTGAAGCTATGATTCTCTTTTTTCTGAGAAGTTAGCCTCAAAACCATGAAGTTTTGATTCCTCAAAGGAAATTCCTACAACTTCACCAAACTCCAAGGAAAACAAGTTTCCCCTAAAAAGAACACATATGGATGAACTGTACCATTCATTGCCCATCAGTATCCACATGATTTTAAAACCAAATGTACATTATCCGTTTGTGAAAGACAAGTTGAAAAAAGCTAATGTATTGTGTTTAACAACTTCATACTTATAGTATCTAAAGCAACAAAATAGTCAGATTAGATTTCTTCATAACATTGTGAGCACTCCTGCAATTTTCATTTTTTACTTTTTTACTCGTAAATTTGATTAGCAAATTTGATTTTTATGAATTTTACGCCTTTGAACTAACAACGGTCGTAATTTTGTTACAGATCTTTAATCAAGGATGTTTCTGGACTTAACCATGCGGATGGCTACGCTTCATGGCGTCAAAATGAATTCGAAGAATTGAGTAGTTTAATTCAGAGACGACTAGATTATTTGCAAAATCCCTCAGATTGTTCAAAAGCAAAGAAGCTTGTTTGCAATCTTAACAAGGTGATTACATTCCAAGACCTCTCTTGCTCTCTGACCAGGAGGTCTCATTATTTTTTTTTTTTCATATTAATTTAGGGGCAGCAATGCAATTTCCTGTAGCATGGAAGGGTCAAGTGTAAACGTGGCCCCCTCCCTGTCCGCAAGGAAGCCAATACTAGTTTTGGAGCCAAAAATCAACGTAAAGTTTCTTTCTCGGATAATTGCGTCCATTTCTAACTCATCCAAGCATAAGAAAATCCTGGTTGTCTGTTGCCTCATAATTATTTATACGACTCTAGCAAAGACTAAAAAGTTCTTAGACCAACTTTGAAATAGTTTGAAATCACTTTGACTGCTAACTTTGTGGCATTGTAAAGCAGAATCAAATTCTAAGATTAAATGAGAGAAGACATCGTGATCTCCATTAATGGTTTTTAAGTTTTGCTTGTATTTCTCATAAACATTCTTTCAGAAAATTTCCAATTTCACCAAGTTTGAACTTCTTTCTCCAAAATTGTACCCTTTTGCACACATGATGAGTAAAAAAGGAATTCTCCCTTGCTGGGTTTAATTCCACTATTATCGCAGTTTAGTCCTACATGATCAATATTTTTATTTTCAGGGTTGTGGTTTTGGGTGCCAACTACACCATGTTATTTATTGCTTCATCATGGCTTATGGCTTGGAGAGAACTTTAATTCTCAAGTCCAAAGGCTGGCGTTACGGAGTCAGTGGTTGGGAATCAGTGTTTTTCCCTCTCAGTAGGACTTGCACTAGTGCTAATGGATCCAGTCATGGCCCCTGGAGAGGTATTTATAGATGATTTACTAATGGCTGATATCAGAGTTGCTTTCAAAATTGGCAGACTTTACTGATCTCTAAGGCTGAATCTCACTTCCCCTTGTTATAAGGTATTAAAAAAATGAGCACCGTAGTGGAAAGAGAAATTTCAGGAGTATGAAGAATTAGGTACCGTAAGGTTATGGGAGTATTGAAAATTTTGAGTCTTGATTTGAGGTTTGTCAAGGCATTTTTCTCAACTTAACTAGCCTTGAGAGGTAGAATCCAGCTCAAACTAGTTGAAGCGGCTGGATTCAGACTCTTGAATGTGAGTATTTTCATACCTAAAACACAAAACAAGCACAAATTTTTTAACACTTTTGACAACATAATTATAGAATTTCTGGTATCTATCAGTGGCTGCAAAAATTCCCAGTTTTGGCACACCCTCAGATTATATATTGACCAAGCCCCTTCAATCTCCATTGATTGCTAGCACAATGCTTACCTGTATGCACTAGATAAAAGTTATAGTTTATTTTGATAGAAACATAGCTAATCAAAATTTATTTTACATCAAACCTCTGAATCATGACATTCTCTTCCCTCCGTTCTCCTCCCAGAGGCACTGTGTGATTTTAACCTTCCATTCTCTATTATTATCCCATGAGTGTTGCACCGGCACCTCACATTTGAATTGAGTTTTGTAGGATTCTGTCTGATGTTAATAAGGAATTTGTGTTGTTTAACTTATGAATTCTCTGCTTCGAATGCTTCTTAAACCAAGCAGAAAATTTAATCAATCCATGAAGAATGATGTGCAAATATTTTTTATGATAACTAAAAGTTTGTTTGACTATATGCTCAACTTTTTCCATGCATGTGCACATGTGAACTCAAAATTAATGGATAGAAATATAAAAATGATTTAATTAAGTAAAATGCACAAATCTGACTTGAGTGAATGAACTCGGCCTGCATAGCTCTTGACTACGAATAAAAACCAAAATTTTTTATAATGGAGTTCTGTAGATTTTACCTCTTACTCTCCAGTAATGGGTCAGCTGCATTGGTCTCTGAATCGTTTTTTGATGCTGGATCCCTGTAAATTAGCTAAAAATTAGCAACTCCCTACTTTCAATATTATCCAAGATATCATGCTTTGAAAAATTTGGGTTATGCCGTCACCCTCCGCAGTAATAACACCATTGGTTTCTTCCACTTGCTTTCATCAGTCAGTACTACACACCTTTGCACTGGTTACTTAACGTGAAACTCGGATGATCGCAGGGTAGAAGAAACCAATGGTTTCGCTACTGCGATGGATGATGTTATGAACCGAATATTTCAAAGCTCGATATCTCGGTTAATATTGAACGTAGAAAGTTGCTGTTCAGGCAGATCTTATTATTTCTAGTTGATTTTAGAGAATCAAGCACCAAAACACGACTCTGTGACTAGCACAACTGACCCATTCTCATCACTATTCTGTATTTTTAATCCATCATCAATTTTTTATTATTTAAGCCAACGGTAATGTACAAGTGATGAATCTACCTATAATTGATTCATTGACACCTCGGTCAAAGTTTCTTCCCGGAGCTGTACCTAATGACATTGCGGGTCGCTTGACCAGAATCCATGGTAATCCTACAGTCTGGTGGATTGGACAATTTTTGAAATATATGCTCAAGTACCAGCCAGCCACAAAACAAATGTTAGATGATTTTGGGAGGAAAGTAAACTTCCAAAATCCAATAGTTGGGTAAGTTAATTTCTTTGATTCTTGCAAAAAAGTATAGGAAAATTTTGAGTGAGTTTATTCTTAATTTATTGCTTGGAATAAACAAAAGATTGTGGATTTGCAAAATTATGTGAATGAAAAAATGAGTAGGTAGATGTATCGGAAATTTTTTCCTTATAAATTCTGATAGTTATAATGTTCTAACTTGGTTTTCTCCCCTAACTTTCAGTATTTTGTATCTCAAAATTAAGTTGTTTCTTAATGGATGTTTGAGGACCTAGAGATAAAATGTAGCATTGTCATGTAAAATTTGAATACAACTTAATATTCGGGGTTTCTTGTAAAGAACATGATGCTTTTATGTATCAAAAACTTCTAAAATACATTCATAAGTGAAAAATCAGTGTAATTGTTGTTTGCATCAGAATCAGCAAATTAAAACTCTTTGCTCACACAAAAATCACAACCAATCCAGGTTAAAGCGGCCATTGAACTGACGTTTTTGATTGAATTGATGTTGTAAAAGAGATTTTATATTTCTTCAAATGATTGATTATTTTTTTCTTTTAATGATGACTTGGTCTCTACAGTGTTCACATTCGACGCACGGACAAAGTAGGAACTGAAGCTGCATTTCACTCTGTTGAAGAATACATGAGCCATGTGGAGGAATACTTCCAGCAGCTCCTTGTCTCTCAACCAGTGCCTCAGAAAAGAATCTACCTGGCAACTGACGACCCTAAAGTTTTCACAGAAATACGACAAAAGTATGTATGCATATAATAAGAAAGTGCTGTTATTGTAGAGTAGAAATTATTTCCGTCAGCTGGGTGTAAATGCCTTGAGACCCAACTTTTAAAATAATCCCCTGAATTTTAAATTTTTCAACACACTTAATTTTTTATTCTGTTATGGAACATGGGTATTTTTGTCGAAATTTCATGCTACTGATTGCCGGCAAGTGCGATAACGTTGTAGGAATGGCTTTCAAAATTAATTCTGACTGAAAGTGAGCCTCATCTGGCTTAAGATGGATGTTAATCTAGGATGATCTGCATAAGGTCACCTTGATCTTTGACCTTGAGGCTCATTGAGAAGCAGCATCAGGTGTAATGACAAAATTTCCCATGCTGTGGCCTGACATTACACGCCTTAACCTCACAAGTTTCACCTCTGGTCAGATTAATGTATCTTTTTGCCGAAAAATGTTCTCTCAGAACTCTTAGTAAACTCACCACTAAAACATTTTCAGTCTTTTGATGAATAAATACCTTTTTAGAAATCGAAGAAGTGCACTTTTTTTGCAAGACTGCGGCGGCTAGAGCTTCGATTTGTATATTGCAATGCAATGCATGGCATTTCCCATATATTCCTTTGAGGAGCAACAACTTTTGTTTGCTTCAATAACAAATTTTGGGGATGGTAGGTTTATGTAGATAAAAACTCTTCCCTACATGTTTGCACTTATTCTTGATTACCTAATTGAATTTCAAAATTTTGACAGCTCAGATATCTCTCTCTTGCAGGTTCTTCCCATTTTAATAAATTGTCAAAGAGTGAAAAATATTTGTAGAAGTAATCAAATAATTTCTGTTCGTCTAAGCACCTAGTCTACCTTGTAGAAATAAAAATAGGGAAATACTGTCATTGAATTTTAAACAACAATTTTTTTTAAGACTTTCAGATTATGATTTTCATTTTTGATCTGTTCTGTTCTCAGATATCCTGAATATGAAGTTTTGGGTGATGCAGTTATCTCAAAATCAGCTTCTTTAGGGAACCGATATTCAAGATCATCTCTTGATGGGATTATCACTGATATTCATTTTCTAGCTCGCACAGATTTTCTTGTTTGTACTTTTTCCTCACAGGTAATAACTTTACAGTTGTCACACTCGAAAAGCAAAGTGAAAAAGTGAAAATTTTTATGAGTGAGGAAACTCTGCGATGTATGAATTCTACTAAAGCTCCTAATATCAGAAAATTTTAGAGTTGAAAAACGTTTCTCAACATATATTTTTCTTTTGAAAAACATACTTTTTAAGGCTTAAATTAATAATTTTGATCCATCCCTCTCCTATTTAAATTTTGGCCCGTTCATGTCTGGCTGTATGTGCAAAGTTGGAATGCTTGTAAGGCTCTCGACTTTCCTTCGCTACAATTATGAATGTAGCTCTTGATTTGAATTTTGGATTTCCTCCTTCAGAAATACTTGTAGAAGATTAAGGCTTAAGGAAATGCTTTTTAAGAATGATGTTGAATTAACTTTTTATTTTAATGAAACCTTAATCACTTATTTCTTTCCATCTAACTTTTTATTTTAATCATGTTGTCTATTATTTATTTTCACATCCCTCTAGGTCTGCCGTATTGCATATGAAATCATGAATGCTCTTGTTCCTGATGCTGCCGACCACTTCAAATCCCTCGATGATGTCTACTATTTTGGCGGACAGGAGCCACATTATCATGTTGCGGTGCTGCCACATACTGCGAAAACACCGCAAGAAATGAACTTGAAAGTCGGTGACATCCTAACTATTGCAGGAAACCACTGGGATGGCTATTCGAAAGGCTCAAATCTTCGCTCACAAGTTTATGCATCTCTGTTTCCCTCTTTCAAAGTAAGCGTTAATGCCTTGATTTTGTTTCATTTTGCCTATAAATTTGTCGTTCCACTAGAAATTAGAGGAACAAGAATTTATTTAAGTATCATCATTTATTTGTAAAGTATTTTTTCTTCTCAGTTACGGCATGGTCTATACCCTTAACTGATTGTTAAACTTTTAAATATTTTTTCATTTCAAGTCGGTACCAAATTTGAACGTTATAGACTGGCCGATAATGATAGTGTACTTTTCTTTCGCAACACATTTCCTTAAATTGACCAGTATACTCATTACGTTCGCTCTGGAATTGGTCCATAATGACAAGCATTCTCATCATGGGACTTTTAACTAACGTTTTAGTTAGTTCTGTCATTTTTGGACAGGTAGCATTACTCATCAACCCTCTGACTAGTAGTATCACCAATCCAACACATATTCGTACGGTTGTTTAATTATCTCTGGTACAATAAATGTATTTACCAATACTAATACACCTTTCACACTAATACTTCGCCTAACTCAATTTTTCCATGTATTAGCTGATACTGTATTTTTCTTGATTATTTTCTCTAGCGGGGCTTTTTTTTTTTTTTTTTTTTAAGGTTTTCTTTATTTTGACAAAAATCAAGGAAAACTCAGCAGCTGGCATTAGCCTGTGTCACACTATCAAAATACTCCATCAAAACGTCACGGTCAAGTGCTGTGATTGGTCCAAGTCGTCAAATAAGCCTATCACAACACCTGACCTTGATATTTTGATGTCTAGTTTTGATAGTGTGACACAGGCCATTGGAATGAACGACAGGATGACATATTTTAACCGCTGATCTTTGTAGTGTATAGACAAAATTTATTTTGTATTTTAAGTATCTCAATTTCCAGCATCATATGATAAGTTTTAGGACCATTCAGAAGCATCAAAAGTTACTGATCCTGGCCAAATTGAGTACTAAAGTTAGGCTCAGGTGGCTTAAAATAAGTAAAAGTGAATGGGCTAACCATCCCTTCAAAACTGGATTAAAAGTGAAGTCTTATCCATGTTTCTTATTATAAAGCATTATTAAAAAAATGATAAAAAAAATTCTAGTTCCAATGACGAGACTTTTTGACAGAAAAATTTTTAATGAATGGCATATTTTAGCAAGTTTTGGAAAAACTGAAAAAATTATTTTTGGGAAATGAACATGAAGGAACAAAAAAAAGAGAGAGAAAAATCCGTCACCAGACAGTAAAATCATTTTTCAATCAAAAGGGAAAAGCATTAATGTAATTCATCAAGCCAAAAACCTTCGTTTTTTACCCCACCAATATTCTGCAATAGTCAATAGTAAACAAGGTTTTTCCTTTTATGGGTTCCATCAACGTATTTACGGTGGAAATTGATCATTACGACATCACTTATAATTATGTTTCAGTCGTAACATTGTAATCTGATCAATCCCATGGCTATTATCCTATTGACTAAGTGTACTTATGAATGAGTTATTATTACTCAGAGCTCTCTGACCACTTAAATTTTCGTTTTTTGTCATGGATCGTTCTAGCATCTACTCGGCCGATTTGAATAATGTTTGCAGATATCAACAGGTGATAGTCCTTTAAGAGCCTGCTTACTCAGATTTTGGAAACTTAACTCGCGGAGACACTCAAAGCAGAACTTGGAGGGCGCAAAGCACTCTCTGGAGGGTAGAGATATGTAGCGGCCAGGGGGCATAGCCCCTGAATATTGACAATTCGACCCAATAAGACTGACCTGTGGAAGGTCGTTATATCCAATTTTCGCTGTATAAATGCAATGTATAATTCATCTGATACACTTATCTTTGTTTCCTATAAAACTGCTTATGTAGCCTCAAATAATCATTACTTTGTTTTTCAGGTACAGCCTAAAGTTGAGACAGCAGATTTTCCAACTTATCCGCAAGTCCCGCTCAAAGCACCCGAATCTGAGCCGGTCAGGTAATATTAAAAATAACAAAATAGGTTTTCATCTTCATTCACTGCACTAACCTGGTTGGATACTAGGTACAAATAGTTTGAGAATGTTTAAGCATGTAACATTGACTCTGCAGCATTGAAGTTCCTGAGGATTGCATCAGCCCAGAGATATGTCATTGTAAAGTTGTAGGGGTGCAAGATCGTCATCATCCTCAAACTTCTATTTTTTTATGTAGAGGTGGATTTGTAGTGACGACCAAAAAAGCAAGTGTGTATTTCAGTCATAAATGAAAAAAAGAAGATTTGCATAGGGTATTGCAGTTTTTTTAAAAAAACGTCAGGTCCGTTCTGCAGTATTATCACGATTGTCACAATACCTGACACTACTCGACGAAAACTGGCAATTCTGTAATAAAAAGGCATCTAAAAATTTAGTTTTTTACAAACTGTCTTTAAAATTGGCCTTACTGTATCCTTTGAAAGTTGCTTCTTAAGCGGTGGCTTCTTATTTTTTTCTTCTTGATTAGGACTCAATGCAAGATCTGAGTGTTGCTCAGATTCTTTGATTCCTTGCTTCAGATTCCAGATAGCTTGAATGAAAAGAAAAAGAACTGAGGCAAGAATGAGTTTCATACATTGAATGACAATCTCAATTCGGAAAAACTGGCTGAGGTCTGAAACTTAATGATCCAACCAAGCAGTTATACATGGTTCTATCAAATCAATGTGCGTCTTAGAACACTAATTTAGATGAATTATGGGGGCAAAAAATTTCAGCCTCTAGAAGGACTGTATGTGGAAGTGTGCCTTGCACTTTACTCTTACTGTGTGATTGTTTCTTTGCATTGTGATCAGTTAATTGAAATATGTAGTATTATGTGATTCCTACTTTTAATCTGAAAATATTTCCACGTATTTGATGTATTTGTGCCGGAGTAAGTTTTAAGCAATGCTAAGCCAAGGTTCCATTACATTAGTAACGCTTTGCCATAAATCTAACTCTACTCCCTACTAGGAACCCTTGCTCTCCAAGCTACAGACTTGGTGATAATTTAAGATTTAGATTTTCAGCAAAATTGAATTTTGAATCATTGGAATTTCATGTCAAGAATATTTTCTGCAAGTGATCTCCATACTGCCCGTCTACAGGGAAATTCATATGTTTTAATTTTGAAAGCTGTTCCACGCTAAAACTGAGCATCGCCATGAAATAAAAGGAACAAACCATTAATCCTACTGCCACAGTTTTATTGTTTTGTTCTTTAGATCTTTCTCCATCAACTCAACTACAAGCAAATAGCAATTGCTTGGAGTTTTTTTTTTTTTTTTTTTTTTTTTTTTTTTTTTTTTTTTTTTCCTAAAAAAAAATCCTAACGAAGATATCTTTTTATGGCAAATTGTCACTCTATTCATGATAGTCTTTTATTGTATGCTATGTAAGTTGCATATGTATAATTGCAAAACTTTAGAAGTATGACAAATACAATGCGAACTACTAAGGGTGCACATGAAGGTTGTAAAAATACCCTCTTGTGTCAAGTGAAGATCTTGTTGTCATTCCCGTCTGAAAGAATGTGTTTGATAGAAAATCTTCCGGAAAATCCTCCTTACTTGCGTTTAAGATTAGTCTCATCTTACACAATCCTTAAAATATTAATTACTCTGACACTGCAACAGGTTAATGAACAGAAAATTGTCAGATGTATGGTGTCTTTGTAATTATATGGATTATCTTTGTTCATTCTCTGTCTATTGTGAAGCCCTCGGCAAACTCTATTTTTTGTCAGACAACACCCCTCTCTGACTTAGACTCCTAGTTAACTGTGGGATCACACTTTTAGGTATTCCTTTTCCTACTTATAACATAATTTGTTACCTAAGTTTAATTTAATTCTCTGCTATTATAATTTAGTCTCATTTATAATTGAAATTATTTTCAAGGCCATATGTATTATTCGTATTGTAAAAGTGTATTTAGTCCATTACTCTTTTCATGGTTCATCCTATAGATTATTTTTTCACTTTTTCTCTATCTAAAGGTGAATAATTACAATACAACATTCACAGCAATTTTTTTTTGTTTTAGGATAATAATTTTAAGCCTCAATGAAAGTCCTTTGGTACATGTTTAATTATTTTGCAAGAAAGTGTCTTAACTTTATTTTTCTGCAAGCTTGTGTGCTAGCAGAGTTGGAATTAAACAGAATGATAGAAAGTTGTAAAAAATTAAAGTGTATAACCCTACTCGGAATGATATTTAAATGATAATTGACTTTATTTTTTAATCTTATGGGGGCTACCAAAAAAGTTTGGTCACTGTGTCGAATGAAAAGAGCGCATGGCACAATGCATATGTTTAGCAGATGGAGTTTCAAAAATATCAGCCTTGGCTTTTAAATGACAAGGTCATTCTACTTGTTTTATGTACATTAAATTTTGGCTCTACCAACAAAACCAGAGAACATATTTGACATTGCTGGCACCGGAAATTATTTCAACTCTTGAGAATTCAAGGGTAGTTGAAGTGAAAGAAAATCGGCAAAATTTGCCTTTTCCCGGAATCCTGATATTTTTTTTGTTTCGGTGACACTTCACACTTTTTTGCTTTGAAACAGAGTTTCAAACTTGGGTCTGGAGCCAAAATCCCCAAAAATTCAGGTTTTTAAAAAGTTCCTCATCAGATTTCATGTTGGGCCTGAGGGTGAAGATTCATGAGCTATGGATGTGTTGTTTGGAACCACCGGAGACCGAAAATATGTGGAAATAGTCAACCATCACCTTTGGGTCCAGCATGAGTTCTGATGTGAAACATTAAAAACATGCCTTCGAATTTCGGCCTTTATATCCAGTCTAAGCATCTGTTTCAAAACAAAATATTGTGAGTTTAGCCGAAACACAAATAAGTCTGTAAAATGTACGTCGTCAACTGCAAAATACCGAAAAATCTCAACATTGTGGGAGTGGTCCGATTTTTGCCCCTCAACAATGCCCTCCTTTTAAATTATTTAATTTTTTTCATTTTCTTGTATTCTTTAGTTGAAGTAACTTTGTGCGTGCTTTGCTTTACATGATTTAAACAACGATTTATGATCGCTACCTACATTTAATATCCGCTTAGCCCTCATCAGCTGTAAAAAAATTGTTCTAATTCTACAGATCTTTTTTTGTCGTTCCACAACCTGTTTTCTATCGCTCACTTTTATACACTTCTCATGGAAGTGATATGCTCACTTTGAGTCTTATCCTCTACTTAACTTTTGATTTTTAATTTAATCATCTTGTGCTTGTCATTTTTTGGAATGTATCTACTTAAAACTTAAACCTTCATAACGAATTTCGTTTAAAAAATGATTGTACTGAGTATTGCATTGAATTAACTCATCCAATTAGCTTTCTTCTGAGCTACACCTCATGCTAATTCCTGATTCTCATTTTGTCAAGAACTCATGATTTTGTGATCGATTTAATCCCTAAGTAATTTTTTAAGTGATTTTTCAATTCTCAATTTTGTTGAATGTTTTATTCTTTAGTCGAAATGTTCTAACTATATGTCATCACTAATATTTCACTGCACCAACATTTCACTGCGGACATTTTACTGTGGCTACTTTTCCTTGCCTGTATTATTATCTCTTCAAAATTCGTGCAGTCTTTTCCTCAACTTTTTTCCAAGCTTAAGGCTGGCCGCTATAACACACTCCATCTTATGAGTTTGTCATAACTGATGAAAAATCTGAATCGTTGTAAAAACGATTTATCAATGCATGAAAATCACGCCAAAAGTAGCTTAATTCTCAAAACGTGTCTGATGCCCATAAAATCTAATTAGAGACTGATGTTGGCATAGCCTAATCGCCATTTATTTGCTCCTCTATATGTTGCTACCCTCCTCTTTTTCTTCCAGCCCTATTCCTAACTTACCCTGCCTCTATTTGGAGATGTTTTTAGTCCAATTGCTGTAATAATTACCACAGTACAGCCCTTCGTATGTTTTCTCCACCTTGTTGCCGGTTGACTTATCAGTTGCCTCTTATTTAATCTTTCCTTAAAACAGTGTATGAATGGCAGCAAACAGTTGCTTGGATCAAAGTTGTCTTAGCAGTGAAATTTTACTGCAGAGAAATGTTCTTGGTGAAATTCTGTGCTAAAAAATATCATAAAATCGATCAAAATATACTCATTTTTAGTTTAAGTGTCATTTTAATATCGTCAATATCTCAGATTGAAATAAGTATGTAGTTTTGTATTTATAAAACAATCTTTTTTTAAGTATAGTTTTAATCTTTGGAATCATCTGAGACAAGGAAAATTCAAAATAACTATACGTACCTGTCTCAAAAAAGTATGTGCAAATTATTTTCTTACCCTTTTTATAAAGTGTTTTTGTCATTAGCAGTAATCAAGAGTTCACATTTTGTTACAAAAAAATCTTATGATGCTGGAGTTAGGAAGCTTACTGAGAGACGAGTTTTGTATGTGATCCAATAATAATTTTTTTTTTTTTTATTATTTTTTTTGTCAAAATAAGTAGTGTGTTTTGAGGGGAAAAAAAGCCTTAACTTCCCATTCAACGTACTCTAGAGAGCAATAGACATGGAATAGATCAAAATCATCACTTTTTAACTCTTACGGCCTCATGATCCAAATTATAAACAGTACCATTCATATGAAATCTCAGCTAAAAATTGTGCTGTAAAAATCATTTAACCATTATTTCTCTCAACACCTGAAGAACTGTGGGAAATGATTGGTTGAGTATTATAATTTTAGGAATCTTATGTCCGCAAAAGGACTCCCTGCATTAAAAATATTAGTATGAGTCAGTTACGCTGGTCACAGAATCAAGTTTTGATGTGTGTTTCTTGTAGATCAGCAAAAAATGATGAGATCTGTCCAAACAGCAAGTCTCTACATTCAACATTAACGGAGATATTGCGCTTTGAAAAATTTTGTTTATGTCGTCATCCCCTGTGGTAGTGACACCCTTGGTTTCCTCCATCTTAGTTTCATCCAAGTTGCACGGTGAGTAACCATGCAAATGTGTGTCTCTTCCTTACGGATGAAACTAAGATGGAAGAAACAAGGGGTGTCACTACCGTGGTGGATGACATCATAAACCGAATTTTTCAAAGAGGGATATCTCGGTTAATATTGAACACAGAGACTTGCTGTCTGGCCCGATTTTATTATTTTTAGCTGATCTACAAGAATCAAGCATCAAAACAGAATTCTGTGACCAGCGCAATTGACCCATTCCACGCCATATAAAGTTTGTTATTATGTATTTGATATGTGATGACAATAGGTTGTCATGCATCAATGAGACAAGAATTTTACGTCACAGTTTCAGGTCCTCCCTTTTTAAGAATTTGCCATGAGACGAAGACTAAATTGTTTCCCCTTACTCCTGCTATTGACTCTGTTCCTTAAAATTTCATGAAAAACTAGAGTTATACTTATTATGCAAATGGTAATCGATTTTACGCAAGACTCAGGGCTTTGAATAATAGTTTTTTTTCTTCTTTTTTTTTTGCCGAAGAGGGGTATAGAGGGAAAATTATGTTCTCAACTATTACTATAGGAGCTTTTTCAGTATGCATTGTATAATATAGTTAAATAATTCATAGTTAATATTATGTTAATGTAGTCAAGTTAAGTTATCGTTCCATTCTGCGTTTTTTTATCTCTCCTTTTCTTTTTATTCCAGGATTGTAAGTGTGCTTGTATTTTCTGCCCGATTTTAGTTTTTTTTTGTTGTTAAATATTGAATACTATTCCAGATTTTTACAATTGTATGTAGTTATCTATGTGTTTGTTGGTGGTATTTTTATATATTTTATCGATTTCAGTAAATTTTGTTATTTTATTTGTGTGCATTACTGTCCTTGAGTTTCAAAGAAGGAATTTTAAAATATTTGGACAAATTCAAGGTTAAAATTAGGAAGCACGTAAGATCAAACACTCTTTAGTTTTGAAAGTTGATGGATAGTCATAGATGAAAAGCTTTTCTTTTGAATCATAATACTCAAAACATAGTTTCTTTCATTGTCACATCGTGTTATGAGCTAAATTGTTTGGGTTTCCTTGTTCTAAGTTCTGAGTGTGACATTTAGAGCTCCCTGTGTCAAACTTGTTCTTTCAACCGGAGTTGTTTCCTAAAAATAATCAAATTGCTATGTAAAATCAATCCAACTAAATCTAGGTTTTCTTTATGAGTCGTAGGTACATTTTCAAAGAACTTTTTTCAATAGATTATCAAAATTCACTATTTTCAGATCTGTTAACCTTTAAAAATTTCTAAAGTGAGTTTTTTTACTTTAAAGTCAATTCTGCAGCTAATTCCCCGTGATTAAATATTGTCTTTAGTAAAATTTGATCATTTACCTGTGCTTTAAGTTTTGCTGTTTTGAGAATTCTACTTTGTATCAAATTTTGTTTTCTTTTCCATGACCCTAGTTATAGAAAGAAATGTTAAGTCTGATATTGAACCCAGTCTGTCACTTGAAAATAACATTTTGTGATGTATGAAATTTATTTTCTGTTCAGATCTCCTGAAATCTACTTAAAATCAACCTCTCAAGCCGTAAAAAAACTTATTTCCAAAACTTGAGTATGCTGCCACAGCTATCCTCCGTTTTACTCAATTCCTTTAATATTTTTTCTAATCTCGCTCAAGATGGATTAGTGTAAAAATAAATCTAACATTTCACTCGTTCCTCGGATATATACTGTTTTTCTGCTGGAAACTAAAGTGAATCTAGTTGATAAATGCGCTCTTCTTAAACTGACATTTATTTTCTACTTAAACTTACTGGTTCATCAATGAGTTTTCTTCAAAAGAATCATTATTTAATGCAACTTTGGGCATTTGTCTTGTTCTACATCCATACCTGTGCAATCTGTTTTGAATACTGTTACCAAAAATTCTTTGATTTACTTCATTGTAAATAGATTTAACTAGGCATTTTATGTAATCTAAATGTAATCACAAATGATGGAGTCACAGATACGGGAGTGAAAGTGCAAATTTTGTTTTTTCAAGAGAAATTACTTGGAAAAGAGAATATTGCATGGAACCAAACAGGACGCACTAATCTTGGGGTGTAATTTCATAATTATAGTGTTGAATTTTTTTACTTAGAACACCTAAATGGACCAACATGGCTTTTCCTAAAAAAAATTGTATCATAATTTTTGTTAAAGTGCTGTTGAACTCCCTAATCTGTGACGCTAAAAATACTAGTTTGTTTTTCTCTGCCTTTATCAGGGGAACCCTTGAAATGTATATTTTAAAATGTGAATATTCCTGCTCAGCAATTGTTTTAAATTGTAACTGTTGTAAATCTTTACTGCTTTTATTTTATGAAATCATGTCAATCATTATATTATTCATTTCAACTCTCTCAATGACCATACTCTCCTTAGACAAAAATTTAGTCAGAGTTGCTTACTAATCGGTTCAGTCGGTGGCAAGAAAATCATGCTTGCTTTTGAAAAGCCCAGTCAGGAGACTTTCTATATTTGTACATAATGTCAGCTCAAAGAACTTTTTTAGTGCTTGGCCCATCTTGACATTACAGTTTCTATCAGTTTTTAAGAAAAATTTGATGTACGATATGGGTGGGTTTTTTACCTTAAGGTCTCTTATTTCAAGATCTATGTTTAAGGTCACTATTGACTGTCTCAGTCTTGTCATTTTTAATTGAAGGAGATAATAATATTAGGCAAATTTCCTCTATTGATTATAAGATTTGCTCCCATGTTCCTTCAACTAAAAATAAAATTGAAGATGCTCCACCCTCTAGTCTCTCTGAATATTCCATCCTCTGGCTTATTCTCTGGTGAACACCGTGTGCTTGATTGAACATCATTTTATTTTTAGGTACTTAATTTTTAAGAACATCTCCAAAAATCTAGTTTCTTTTTCTGTTCAAAAATTAACTAATTGTAATTGTTGTCCAAGGATTGTATTGTTTAATTAGATTGTTCTCTGAATTTTAAATACATTCAATATTGTTTTTTTATATCACAGTTCCTTTTTTTATTCCGAACCCCAGTGTCTGCTGTGAATTTAAAGTGTCTGAGACAAAAGAACCGTTTGTAATGTTGATGATGGAATGGCGGGTAGAATGTTACTGAATAGTCATGACATGACTGGCTTCTAGCCTGAAATTATGTTGCAACAGATCTTCAGAAGTCGGAACTAACAATGATGTAATTATAGAAAAAGAAATAAGACAGAAATAATAATAAAAAAGAAATACAAATTTACAATTTTGAATTTGTATGCCTTTTTTAACATTTAATACGTAAGTTATTTTCATCTTGTAAGATCCGTGATTGAACCAACAGAATAAAAATGCAAATTCTTTCATTAGTCGACAGCCCTTTCTTTTAGTAGTTCTCTGACATTAGTATGTAGGTACCCAAATTTTGTTCTACTAAAGAACCGAGGGTTTTTTTATTTTTGCAATTTAGATAATTAAATTAAAATAACATGTAATTTATTTACCCCCCCCCTCCGCATTGTGTTCTCTTATCCGCGAGTTCTGTGGGACCCTGCATTATATGCTACACCTCTGAAATGGATCACTAGACAAGGTACGAATTTCAGCATTCTGATACATGTTTCTTGGCCAAAATTTCACGTAAAATACGATGCGCACACCGAAAATTACTGACATTAACTCCTTACGAAGATATTTAATGATTCTTGATGCGTAAATTCAAACCACCCGCTCATGAAAACTCAATGCTCTACGTGATTCACATCGCGCGCCAAACGTATCATGACAGTATCTGCGATTTAAAAATCTGGCAACCTTAATTTTGACGCTTTGGCTCAGCTATAGCAAATTGCTTATAGTTTGAACAACACATGGTGGGAAATGAACACTGCTCGATTGAGAAGCTTGCTGAAACCGTTGTAGTGCGCGATTTGACTCACGTAGAGCTTTGAGTTTCTTGTGAGCGGGCAGTTCAAATTCATCGTAACCAATGTGAAATAAAGACGTTGATATCTTCGTTAGGAGTTAGTTTCAGTAATATTTGTTGCACTGATCGTGTTTTACGTGAAATTCTGGTTAAGAAACATGTATCAGATTGCTTAAATTTGTACCTTGTCTAGTGGTCCATTACGTAACGTAACATCTACGATTGTTTGACACTATAGTCCACCCCTTATAAGGCGATCGTAACGCTGGTCCAGATACTCCCAAAATAATTACGTAATATGAGCTCCGACGGCTCCCCAGCCTCTTTTTCAAAAAAAGTCCGAAGAAATTCTCTCACTAAAAATGAGGGGAGAGAATAGCTCCTATTGATTAGAGGGCTCTTCGTTTTAAGAGACAAGAAAGAGCAAGACAAACATCTAGCATATAAAACTTAAGAAGGAAAGGAATTTTTTTTAAATCAGTATACATACTCTTGATACCCCTTTCCACCCCTTGCTACACTCGGTCACAAAATCATGAGGACCGACCCACCACCAAAAGCATTACGAATTTATGGACGGTCCCTTTGAACCAGTCCGTCGACTATGTAAGGTGGATTGCTGGCTGCGCGATTGAAGGCGCTTTCTTCTCCTTTGCTTTGCTACGTTACGTACTGAAGCGGTGTATATTGGTAATCTTACTCAATAACGAACTGCATAGGTAGTCGGACGTCCGAGAAAGCTCGTCACTGTAACAACCGTCGTCTTTCATTTTGAGTGTGACTGTTCCAAGACTATATGGATTTTAGCAAATTTTTTCCTGTATTCCTTCTTTTTCGATCAAATCACGTTCGGTTTACGTTCATCTGTGCATCTGTCTCGATCGATTCTTGTTGATTCTGCTATCATTTTCCTCTTCTTCCCTCTCTTTTCTTCTTCTGCTTCTTCTTCCATCTGTGTTCTTTTTCTTCATTCACTTTCCTCCTTTTTCTTTCACTTTTCTCCGTCTTCTTTCAATCTCTTATTTTCAACATCTTCTCTCCATTTTCTTCCTCTTCCTTTGCATTTTTCCTTTCTTTTCTTCGTCTTCTTCCTATTTTCCCTATGAACATTCTCCGTTTCTCTTCTACAATCTCTCTTTTCTTTTTCTTTTTTTTCTCTCCTCTATTTTCTCTCTTTCCTTTGTTCCATTTCCATTTCCTCTTCTTCTTCTTCCTCTATACCTCTTTTTCATTATTTTTTCATCTTCTTCCGCTTTTCTTCTTCTTGCTCTTTTCTTCTCCTCCTTACAATTTTCTACTTCTTTTTCATTTTTTCCTCTCTTTTGTCATCCTCTTCTCCTCTTCTCCTCTTCTCCCTCCTCCTTTTCTTAACTCCTTCTCACTCTTTCCATATTCTTCCCTATCATTTCGAAATTTATTATGCTTTCGTCAAAATCGACGACAGAAACCGTCTGAGCGTCACATGGAGGATGACACCGCTATTCGACCACATGGGAGCTTGTGTTGCTTACACCGAAATTGAAGGCGAACTGACGTGGTGTCAATGTAATCTTTTTCCGTGAGGTAAAAAACTCTAATTTGTGTGTGTCCCCAGTGAGCGTGCCATTTCACGATGACACTACTATTCGGTCGAAGAGGCTCGCGTTACCTACGCTAAAACTGAGGGCCAACGCATATGACTTTGAAGTAACCTCCTCCGCCTCAAAAATAAAGCAAGTTTTGGAGAGTGGCCCCAAGTGAGCCTGCCATTTCACGACGATACCACCATTCGACCACGTAGTTGCTAGTGTTGCCTACATTGAGATGGAAGGCGAACTGACATGGCGTTAACGTATAGTATAATCTTCTCACGTTTGGTAAAAATCCACTTTTTGACTAGCCTCCTCCTCGCTAACAAGTATTAGTCGCTAAATCGTATCACCACAAAATGAAGCATAGTACGTATGACTCCTAAAAATATGGTCGGGCTATGTAGCTTCAGTGCTCGTTAACTCTCTGATCTCTGACCTGCGAGTGAAAATCTCATTCAAAATGATTGGTATGCAACTCCACATGACAGCGGTGTCTGAAAAGTTATTGTTCAGATTCAAGGAATTTAATTTGAAAAAGCAATGTGGGTACCACCGCGATTGAAAAATCATCGTTCAGATTCAACGGACGTAATTTGGAAGAAAAAAAACACTGCGGTAAGTATCACTGTTCATAGCAGTGTTCGAAACTCACAGGCGCCAACGCGCCAAATGAGCTTAAAAAATCGGCCATGGCGCCTAAAAAATGAAGGCTCTGCGCCAACGTGGCCCCTAAAAATTGCCCCCTAAAAATCTGGATTTTCATAGGAAGTCACATAAAGAAAGAGAGACAAATCTATTTGAATTAAAAAAAAACTCAGAATTTTCAACAGTGCAATTGAAAGCTTTTTCTATTTTTAACGATTTCATTCTTAGTGCTTTTGTCTTCCCCCTAGTTACAGCTACTTACTGGTTCTGTTCCGAAAACATCTTGCGTCTAACTTCCCAATAAGTGCGCCATAATATATAGGCAAAAAGTCAATTAGGCCCATTAAAAATCCTCAATGGCGCCTAAAAATCGGGCTTTATGCGCCACGTGACTCCTAAAACTCAAAAGTGAGTTTATAACACTGGTTCGTACAATTTATAGCATCTATGAGTCTATAATGAAAGGTAACGTTCATAAAATAAATTATTAATAAAATGCAGATTGAGGTGAGGCTGGCGGATGGGTACATTATACATTAAAGAGATGGCAATTACAACTGCGACATGATTACTCGCATTCTGAGCATGACTCTCATACCGTGTGCTTTTCCTCGGAGCGATTAGCGTATTTATTTCATTTCAGGTCCTCTCCCGCTTATCTCGAGATTTCTGTGATATTTTAATTTGCTTGATCTCGCCCAGAACATCTGGACCTATATGACGTCATCGGTTTACCGCGCCCGAGTTGACGGCCGTAAAAAAGTTAAATATGGATAAAAAGGACGGCACGAGATGGGATAGGTAGTAAGAAGCCGTACTACCAGGGCCGGATTAAGGGGGTGGCCACATGGACCGCGGCCCATGGCGGCAAATTTGGGGCGCAAAATTTTGCAATTTTTTTAAAAGCAGGTACAAAAAAATCGGATTCAGAAAAAATTACCAACAAGAAAAGGTGACAAAAATCTCTTATTTCCTGAGAGTTCATTGATTTCTAATTTTGTCGTATTTTGGTGATACAAAAGACTGCACTCCTTTAATTAGTTGAGTTAAGAGAGAAACCAAACACGTAATTTGGCCTGGAGCGCAAAAGAGAAATGATGAAAAGGAGAAGCCCTCGACGCGGCGGTCGGCATGTAACACATATCAGCGCCTATACGAGACTGCATGAATACTTCACGCATTGCGTAAAACACAGTACGGTCAACAGCGGTCGTAGCGGCGCGGCGTGAAACGCACAGTGCCTACAAGACTACATGAATACTTCACGCATTGCGCCAAACGTAGTGTGGTCAGCGCGGCACGGCGGCGGTGGAAGTTAAAATTATTAAACCACATTTATGTTTGTTCTTTCTTAATTTCTTACAAATCAACACGAATGAACGCGTCTTATGCACCCTTCTCCCTCCGGCACGTTCACTTGATGGTTTTTTTTTTTTTGATGTTTCAATAGAATGAATGAGAAGAGGGCGGCAAAATACAGGTGGCCTATGGGCGGCAAGTAGGTAAATCCGACCATGCGTACTACCCCATAGAGCATCTAAAAGAGAGAATAAAGGATAGATGGCATGCAGCACTGCAGCAGGGCACAAGGGTCTCTTCGGATTGCATGAGCCAAATCCGCAACTTAATTCTGTAGACAGATATTATTGAATCTTTGCGTTGAGTAAAAAACGGGGGAAAAAGAGCAGAGAAAATATCCTCCTTTAATGATGAGTGAGTAATATAAATGCATTCTTTTGTTCCACCATAATTCATCGATTTGATGCAAAAACAAAAATGCATTATATTTGCTGATTATCATGCTTTATGTTTTCTTAGTTGACAATTCCGTGTTGAATCTTTCTCCAGCAACATCGAAGCGGAGAAAAAGTTCT